AGCAAAATAGACAGACAGTACTGGATTGGATTTTCTATCTCTTCAACAACTGGTTATCACAGGAGTCAGACTGACAGGTAGCCCCGAGCTACAAGATTGTTATCGTAGTATGCACAATTAATCTTTCTTTTTAGGATACTAGTCCGGATTTTTTACATCTATCTTTACCTTTACTAATCAGCGGCCACTGAATAGTAAAAGTAGCGAAAAGATGTATACATCATATCTCAATACGAGAGTCTGATGGATGCAATATGACGACACGATATTCCTCCCATGAAGAAGTCATGTGTAAACTCAAACCCAAAGCCCAAAGCCCTAATTCTGTATGTGAACGCTTATCTACTCTCTATCCCGCCGATAAATCTCCATTTCGCGATTTCTAGTTACTTCATGCTAGAAGCGGGGAGAAACCCCTCAGGTCGCCAGGGTCTTTATACCCTTTAAGGTTAAATTGTCCTGCGAGATCATTACCTGCGTCCTGTACTGCACACATGGCTTTTCCGCGGGGAAATGGAACTGGAACGGTGTGTAAGATAGGGAAACGGAGATAAAGATTGATGGAGGTGAATATGGTTGACAGGGGTTAGTTTGGTGTGTGTGGGTATATAAGTATGGATGATGTTGGGTGTTGTTCTTTGTGGGATTTGTTTTCTCGAGAGGAAGTTGTCTTGGGGTTAGGCTAGTTGAATGGGATATATTGGTGAGTATTTTGGTATACTATTGATCGACCAAAGGAGTCTGGACCGGCCTTGTTGGTCTTTTCAATTGGGTATGTCGTTTCTGGCCATTGGTTAGAGGGTAAGGTTGATGAGCACTCGCTGCAAGAAATTATGATTTTTTGTCATGGTGTTTGATATACAGACTTCATCGATATACTTAATTTCTAAAAGAGTATGGTTGATTTATTGACTGTCCTTTTATTGTATACTTTTCTAAATGAGAAGGCTAGAAGGATAGTTGCTTGCTCGGGAATACGATTTATTATCGTCTTGTACTCATTCTGGGAGGTATATTTTCTCTGGATATGTATCTAGAGGATGAGATGGGTTAATATCGACCACGCCTTATGAGCTATGGGATAATATCTATAGAACCTGTTATCATTTTATTGGTTGAACTCGTATCTACCTAGAGATTCTTGAAGCTGATAAACAACGTCTCTATTGTATACTATCATCTCATGTGAGGGGACAAGGACGAAAGAGAGCTGCTTGCTCATCAGCAACAAAAGGTATCAAATTGCAGTCCCCAAAACGAAATTGTCTGTGAAAGATAGTTCTCGATTTACCAACTCGTAAATTAACAGATCTTGCGGGTTGGTAGAGATAGTCGCCGAGTCCAGAATATGTTAATCATGAACTGAGACATTTGATGCTCCCTCCATCCCTATCCTGCCCCCTATTTCCATCATCGATCTAGATGGTTATTAGACTGGAAGGGGTTGGTATCAATCGGGTTCAAGCAGTAGCTATCTCAGCAATGCGGCTGCTATGAGAGGTCATACCGATCCTCTGCGCAAGGTGGGTGACCTTGGCTAACATCCAAGTCAATAAATGTCGCACACAGTAAATACGAGCTTTCGTGTCCTTCTAAATTGTCTGAGATCATTTCTTTTTGAGTGGAGGATATTGGACAACATCCTAAATAAGGACTGTGCTCCACTGTATACAATAACTATTCCGGTTTGGTGACTAAATGAGCTTGTTCTTTTCTTTTGGTGGAATAGCCGAGTCAGGCGGCATTTTGGACTGAAATAGAAGCTGTCCTAGAATGTTAATAGAATTCTATAGGTTCTAGAACTTTTTATCCGAGGTGTCACCTCCCATACACTGGCCTAGATTTTGATATGCCCCTTGCTATATTTATTATTTACGCCGACTATTTCCTCAGATGCAGCAGACAACAAATAATTCGTGCGATTGTCTCATTTTGTTTATCTTTTAAATGGCGTTTACTGAGTTGGTGAGTCGGTTTTTTGACTCAGGGGCCGCCCGGTCGGGATATATTTAGCTTCGTAGGGGTTGGACCCTGCTTTCGGGTCTACGGAGAATTCCCTACTCCAATATTGCTGCTATGTATACTTCGCACGTAGCACTGGCGGGGAGCCAGACAATTCAGCCTCGACGTGGTCAATTGTTGTGGACCCCAATAGGCTGATGCTACTGTATTCTCCGTAAGCAAACGGCCATCCCAGTTAGGGGCCGAAGGCGAAAACCCCCAAACCCCCAATCTGACTGTATCAAACGAATGACATGGAAGAGATAAAATCAGAATCGAAATGAGTAGGAGGGTGTACACCGTAAAAGTGAGAGTCTATCCCTGTACACCGTAAGTACCTCGGCCAATGGAGGGCGGCCCCAGGCCAACAACGTCATGTGTCCCGCCTTAATTTGCCTCTCCAAACTCAAGTCTCACTGACAAGAAACACAACTCGCCATGTCCCGCGGTTGCCCTACACTTTGGGTTTCATCTCTCTTCCCTCAGTATTGAAATAGAACCCATCGGGCAGATCCGTTGATAAATCTCGATTCTCCAAACACTTCTCGGTCCTGCCATTTCAATTCCTACAAGCCCTGTGCTGGTCACGCCGAAGCCTTGGCAGAGTTTGCGGTGGCTGGAGGTCCACAGTTCGACCGGCAATTCTGAAACAACAGTCTGCTTTTTGGTGATCGCTTCGGAGCAGAACTACTTAGGCTGGAGCGTATGAGCCTATGAGGCGAGGGGCCTTGTTGGAGTCGTTTTCCGGCAGGGAACCGGATTCAGTACGGAGTAGACAGCTTCTTTGATGACTTTGTTCAGCCTTTCTGATCCTTTGAAGCAGCCTCACCTTCACCTCTCTTGCGATGATTCCCCCTGTGTCTCCACTGATTGGACGATTCGGATCTCCTGAGGCCATCAATGATCAACCTGCATAATGTCACCGTTTCAGTCTGCGTTCCACGCTTTTGCGACCGAGCAACATGCGCTAAGCACCGCCAGGCATCATGCATTGGACAGACTTTGTTAGTGGCGCCACTAGTCAGGAACAACCCGATGTTTGGGTCCCTTTTCTTCCCTGACTTGGTTATTTCTGTTTTCTCCCCCTCTAATCTGACTCAAGACGGCCCCCTAAGGAAGGCGATGATTCGGCGATGTCTTGTCTCAACTTTCCCACCTCGGTCGGATTGACCTCTGAATCTGGCTCCCCTATAGGATGGATATTCCGGACATGATGCCCCGAGTGTTTGCGCTCGGGGGACTCCTTACGAACTGCTGCCTTATTCCGGGCACCCCCTTGGAGATCAGTAATATAAAAAGAATGGGACAGAGTGGAGGGCCCCATAACACCGCCGAAGGCGCAGCATCCCTTGGCCGGGCTTGGGAAATGAGGGCACTCACTGGACACTTCCTTCGCCGTCGCACGAGATCTCCGGGAAAACCGTTGATGTTTCCTATTGATTATTCCACGATCTTACAGGGATTAATCCAGCCAAATGATAGGAAGACGAGGGATCGCAAATCAACCCCCGCGCATATAGTTTTAGTGGCGCCCGCCAACCGGGACTCCAACCTACGGACTGGAGTACGGATAGTCATCAAGAACCCACGGTATACGCAGTTACGGATCCTGTGTCGCAGGCTAGGAACATGATCATATGGACCGCTCCGTCCCCATCGTTGATTAATTAAATCGATGGGGAACCCGACCCCGTCTTGCAAGGTTCGACAAGAAATCACCAGAAATACCCTTCCCCATAGGGGGCGAATTAGGTTCGGGTCCATCCTGTTGGATTTGGGGTTTTGGAGTTTTGTAGAAAGTAGAAACGAGAGTAGAACCCGCGAGGCCTTGTAGCGAGGCAGAATGAAGTTAATTTATGGGCCGAAGATTAAGAAAGGGGAACAAAGAGAGTCAAAAAAAAGGAGGGAGCCAATGACGCATTTAATTGCCATTGGCCACTAGGCCATTCTTTGGCGCCTGCTGCCCTCATTCCCAAGTGAACAGACCATCTTGAGCGGCGACTTGGCTCCTCTTTTCCTTAATATCGCTTGTCTACCGTCCTTTTCTCCCTCTCCTCCTCCCCTTCTCCCATTCCACACCCTTTTAGGCGACGTTGACGTCCTTTCCACTCCTTTGATTGATTGTTATATTAGGGGATTGAATCCGTTTTCTTCTTCCCACGGTCTTTCGCTTTTTCTCGCTCCTTTCTTTTGGCCCCCCCCTCCCTTGTCGGTCGTTCCTTTTTCAGTCTCTCGTTAATACAACCTGTTATTTTTATTTTTGATCGAGTTCCGTTTAAGGTATCTATCTATTTGTCTCTATTTCCTACTCATTTCTCTCCCTGACAAATCTAATCGAGGTGTGGTTTGTCTAACTACGGAATAGTCCGAATAGAATTCCCCTGGATTCTTGACAAGTGATCGAAGTTATTGATCGGCGGAAACTACTACGACAATCTTGGATCATTTGAGAAAGGTATGTTCAAGTCTTGATTTGTTCCGAAAATATTTGGTTCCCAGTATGCCCGGTTTCCTTGAGCCTAGAATGCCCTCGTGTGAATCTGAGTGGCAACTGCAGAATGATACTGCAAGGGAATACTTCACCCCTTGCCTCCCCAAAAGTCAGCCACGACCGCGAAATATGCAGGATCTCAAGAGATCGGACTCCTGAATGCCTGTCCTTTCTCCCCCCTCATGCATGAAACCTTCTTTCGGCGCGTCTCCATCTTGCTTTGTCACTTTTTATTTATTGACATTGTTGATGTTGTGGTCTTATACTATGCCACTCCCCGCCATTGCACCTTATACTGCGTAGTAGCGCCAGACACCCCCACCACATCCTAACACGCCCTCATCTTGCATTCTGTACACTTGCTTTCGTTTAAATCTTGTGTGGCGTTCTTGCGCAATTCTTACTTATCATTTCTGGGGACGCTGTAGTCGACGATCTCGCCCTTCACCTTCGCTCTTTCTAGAACTCAACATCGTCGCTCATTTGCCGTTGATACTTGGTCGCCAACATGACTCGAACGATGCGACTTGACGTCGGACTGGTGACCTGCTTGGCCGCCTTGTCCAGCGTCGCGGATGCTTTCTGGCGACTTCCCTGCCGAGGACGAAGTGGTCTGGCTCGAATGGATCCATTGATGGACCCCGGAAAGGCGTCAAACCACGTCCATGCGATTCATGGCGCAAGCGGTTAGTGACTCTGCGTGTGTTTACCGTGTGCCAATTCTAAACCCCCGTCTCGATAGCCTTTTCGATGTCCGTCAGCGAAAACAGCCTCAAAGAATCGAGCTGCACCTCTTGCGCAGTCACCCAGGACAAGTCGGCGTACTGGGCTCCCGCGCTGTACTTCCAGCACGAGAATGGTGATACTGAAATTGTGGAGCAAGTGGGAGGCATGCTTGCGTGAGTGATATCTGATGCTTTTGAATCTGCATCGACATGCTAACTAAACATGGCGATCTAAAAGTTACTACCTTCTTTACGGAGAGAAAGTCGAGGCATTCCCCGAAAACTTCCGTATGGTAGCCGGTGATCCATTCCTGCGCAATTTCCCCTGGCCGATCCCCGACCCCCCGAAATCCGAATGGACCGGCAAGCAGGGATCCCAGGATGCCCTCCGCCAGAAGGCTCTTGGATTTAACTGCCTGAACTACGCCAAGGATGCGGAGCCGTCGCTCGGCCGCCACTACCTGCCCGACAAGTCCTACCTGGATGAGCACTGCACGGATGGTGTCCGTTTCGAAATCATGTTCCCGTCGTGCTGGAACGGAAAGGACAGCGACTCCGACGACCACAAGTCGCATGTCGCCTACCCCTCGCTGGTTATGGATGGAACTTGCCCCGAGGGCTATGAGACCCGCGTTGTGTCTCTCTTCTTCGAAACGATCTGGAACACCTACGCCTTCAAGGACAAGCAAGGACGGTTCGTGCTGTCCAACGCCGACCCGACTGGCTACGGATATCACGCCGATTTCATCCACGGCTGGGACTCTGGTGTCCTCGAGTCGGCCGTGAAGCGATGCACCAACCCCTCTGGCCAGATTCAGGACTGCGATGTCTTCGACATTCAGAGTGAGAGCGACCAGCAGAAGTGTAAATTCGAGGTGCCCGAATTGTTGAAAGATGAGGATGTCGAGGAGTACAAGGGCAGTCTCCCCGACGGTCTGCTTGTGGCGGATGGACCTTCTTATGCGAAGCCCTTCTCCTACGTCTCCGGGCACGTTTCCGCTACCTCCAGTGCCAAATCGACTGCCAAATCTACCTCAGCTCCCACTTTGGCTCCCACCTCGGCTGCCCAATCATCCACCTGGACCGCCTCGCCCACCACGTCGTATGTCAATGGCGTCGTTACCGAAGCCGTGGTTTACGTCGAGAGAGAAGTCTTCGTTTATGTCGACCCGCAGGGTAACGTTCTCGAAACATCCACTGCTGCTCCGGAGACCCTTTCCACCGTCACCGAGACCAACACCCAACACGTCTCCACCGTCGTTACTACGCCTACTGCGCCTCCTTCGAAGCGCACTCACGCGCACAAGCGTCACCACCATGGTCACCATGGTCACTAAGCGTGATCATTCCAACTGACGACGCTTGTTGGGGAGATACTACCATACATATTTCCTCCGCCGCATCGATAAGCTCTCGCTCCAGTTACAACTTTATTTCTTTATTTTCTATTACCTTCTGGTGCTTGAGCTTCTAAACCGACTTGGTTCGTGGATTCGATTCTCAGGATATTTTTTCTCGTCTATTTTTATCTGGATTCTTCCCCTTCACCTGTCAATTCCTTTCCCCTTTTCTTTGGATATACATGCTACTCTCGGTCTGATCTGGTCTGTCTGGTCTGTTTGCTTGTCTGTCCTTGAGGGGACAAGCAAAGCCATGACATGACATGACAAGTCTTGTTTATTTTTTTCATCTTTCTCTCGACGAGAATCAAGACGGATCTTGTTAGACATAGCAAATGAAATCGTGCTGGAGAGATCTAGTTCGATCATGCTTCCCTTTACTACAGTCTTTGATTTGTGATTTGCACGTGTCTGAGACATGATTTACGACTTTGGTCAATTATAGATTTGGTTTCTTCTTCACTTCATTTCGGCTTAATCGTAGTTTCTTCGTCTTGACATTTCCCTCGTGGCCAACTTAGACTCTTCGATTGAAGCTCGATACACGGTTCAAATCTGACATCAGTTTAGCCTGGACATGGTTGGTCTAACTCGGATATAGTTGGTTAAGTAATAAAAAAGTCCCTCATTCCCCAAAGCGCTAACTATACTTGTTCATCCATTACCACTAATAGGAACCTGTATAGATAGTTCGGCCACGATTGACCCGACGCACCTTTCCTTCCCCGCAATTTCAGATAAACAATGCGGAGTCGGATAATTATCCGCCCTGGTGCTTTTCCCGGTGTATATAACGAAATCCTCGGCTCATCTGAAGTCATTCCCTCTTCTCCCCCGCAATCCTCTCTATACACACCGCACAGTATACACACCTTCATTCCGACCCGCGACGATGCCTGAAATCCCCACCTTCGACAGCCTCACCCTCGACCCCGCCGGACCCCCAGGAAACACATGGGGCCTTTTCGGCCGCGATAACGACCTCGGCATGCTCAACCTGCTCACCCCCGAGACGGTACGACGCGCCGCTGCAGAGGAGATCCGCGACGGGGTGCGTTTCTCGCTGGATCTGCCGCTCGATCACATCAAGACCCCGAGTTTCGGGCGGAAGCCGTTTGTACAGGAGTTGGTGAATCGAGCCCCGAGGAGCGTCAATGACGATGTTTTGGTGTTTAATACGCAGACGAGTAGTCAGTGGGATGGGTTTCGGCATTATGGTAGACAGACAATCGCTTTTCTTTTCGAGTTCCTGGTGACGAGAGAGATCGCTAATTAATTGACCGACTTCTGCAGGGAACCAGAAACATCAGTGTTATTTCAATGGCAACAGGTTAGAGGATTTGCAAACTAAGCACGTCATTGGGATTGACTGTATGCCTCCCTTTCCCACAATTCCTCAGTCTCTAGATCCTCCAGCATCAAGCCCAACCAAACCAACAAACTCCACCGAAAACAACTAACCTCTAGAAAACAACCAGCATGGGTCCAAAAAGGCGGCATCGTCGGCCGCGGCATCCTCATCGACTACGCCACCTGGGCAGCCAAGCACTCCATCCCCCTCACGCCCTTCACGTACAGCAACATCCCTCTCTCATTCCTCCAACAAATCATCCAAGAAACGAACCTCACCCCCCGACCCGGCGACATCCTGTTCATCCGCACCGGCTTCACAGCCGCATACGCCGCGCTCTCCGCGTCCGAAGAATCCGCCCTCGCGCAACGCCCCGCAGCAGATTTCTGCGGTGTCGAGAACGGCGAACGCACACTGCGCTGGCTCTGGGAGAACCAATTCGCCGCGATAGCGAGCGACACGCCGAGCTTCGAACCCTCGCCGATCTTACACGCGAATGCGCCGCTCGATCATACGCTGCATCAGTGGTGTTTGGCGGGTTGGGGGATGCCTATTGGGGAGTATTTCGATTTGGAGGATTTGGCGGCGTATTGTAGGGAGAAGGGGCGGTGGTCGTTCTTTTTGTCGAGTGTGCCGTTGAAGGTGAGTTTCCTTCCCTTCTTTTACGCTTTGTCTTTGGTATTTTGGAGGGAGGGAGGGTTGAGATTTGGGTTATGGCATGGGTTGCTGACTGACTGACTGATTGATGATGGATAGGTACCCGGGGGAGTCGCGAGTCCGCCGAATGCAGTGGCTATTCTATGATCCGGTACGCGGAGATTTGGTTGTATATACGGGAGAAGAAGGGAAAGGGAAGAGCGAATAGTTACTTATCTACAGAGCAAACTATAGATCAATTCAAATGAATGCCATTCTAGTCACTTAATCTACCTAAGTAGTCATGACAGGACAAGTCGCGACAAAAACAAACCACAGGTAAGTGGACTCTGCACGTCTAAGCAATACAGGTCAAGGTCAGCCAACAGGTACAATTAAAAGAAGATCAGGGGAGCAATCGCAATCAAATAAAGGCAAGGAATTGCAATCAGATCTTCACGCCACGCTCCTTGATCAGAATGCGAGTCTTCATGTTCGGCATAATGTGATCACCGTTAGTCACATTGGGAGGACGACGCTTGGTTTCCTTTTCAAACTTGAAGTCGTATTCCATGAGGAAGCGACTGAGGATAGCCTTGATACTATTAGTAGCGTAGAAGCGACCAGGACATGCCTGACGCCCGTAGCCGAAGTGCATGTTGGTGCGACCGATGGTAACCAGGTAGTTGGGGGAATCAACGTCGTCTTTGCACCACCGCCAGGGATCAAAGTGATCGGCGTCTTCGATGATCTCGGAGTCGCGCGACATAGGACCGGAGGGGAAGCAGATGTGAGAGCCCTGGGGGAGGACGAAACCATCGGAGAGAGCTATTTCTTCGAGGCAGATACGTTGAGCAGTCACTGAGGTCGATGGATTAGTAAGAGTGGATTAGAATGAGTGAGGTGAAGGGAAAATTAAGATAGAGCGAAGGAAGTAACAAGGTGGAGGGAGTAAATAAAGAGAACATACCTTCAGAGGTAGGGTTGAAACGGTGAGACTCGCGCAAGAAGCTATCCATCTTCCGCATCGAAAGCAACTGAGCCTGAGTCGTCCCTTTCCAGCCGTCCGTGAGAACCTGGGGGATCTCTTCACGAATCGTCTGGAGAACATCAGGCATGAGGATCAGGTCATAGATGGCATGAGTGGTAAGCATGGTACTAGTGTGCACGACTGCCAACGCAACGACGGTCATGATACCCTGGGAAAGGACCTCGGGGCGCTTGTCATACTCGTTGTCAGCAGAGTCCATCATCCACTGGATGAAATCGTCAGGCTTGACCCAGTTAGGGTCGGTCGCTTCCTTGATACGACGCTCCTTGATAATGGGCACAAAGAGCTTGTCAGTGGCGTAGGTCAACTGCTCGGCCAGCTTGCGAACGCTAGGTAACCACCTGGCAATGATGGGACGCACGACCTTGGGGAAGGGACGAAGCAAAAAGATAGTGATGCCAACGTTGTTCGTGTAACGAATGAGCAGGTTCAGCCAGTTCTCATCACGGCACAAGTCATCGCCAACGATGATGCGGGAAGTGGTGCGGCTCATGAGAGACAGGATCATATCATAGATGCTCACGGGCGCCCAGCGATCTAGGGGTTGTTAGCTAATGATGAACAAGTAACCTGAATGTGACATTTCATACCTTTACATTCAGGAAGCACCGTGGGGAACGCGTTCGTCAGTTCATCGATGGTGCGTGGGACAATACGGTCTAAGATGAGATGTCAGTTAGGGCATTCTTGTAGCTTGACCTAAGTAGTCAAGCACAGAGGGATTGTCTAGAGGAAAAATACTTACTCAGAGCAGGAGTCAGCTTCTTGGCGACCGTGAAGGCAGGCAGCTGGCTGTCCAGGAGAATATTGATATATTCGCCAAGCACGTTCTAGAGTGCAAACCTAACATCAGTAAGGGAGTAAGATGAGTGCGATGGAAAGTTTTATGCACGAACCCGATGTTGAGCATGGAGCAAGCTGATCTTGCTAGGCGGCAAAACCTTGATCTCGTCCATGTACTTGTCAGGGAGAATGATCAAGTCTCCATCAGGCTTCAAAATCTGGAACGGCTTGCCCGCAAACTACAGACGTTGTCAGTGAAGGAGAACTCCGCTATATTCCGCCAAAAGAGGATACTTACGTGAGTGTAGCCATACTGGACCATAGCAGGAGCATCGATGAAGAACAGGAGACGGTTAAAGAAGTTGGGGAGAAACCTGTTGAACTTGACGGTGGGAACATCAAGATATGACTTGCTATAAGGACGAATGGTGAGATAGAAAACAAAGCAGGCGACCAGGTAGGCCGGCCACATGCTTCTATTAAAGGCCCAGTCCATGGCGCCGAACATTGTGAAGGATTTCAAGATGAAAAAGACTGGAGAAAACGAAGGAAGTTCAGTTAGGAAGGGGATAAGATGGAGCGAAGGTAGGAAGCTGGGTGAGGAAGGAGAGAGAAAGCGGAAGAAGTCGATGGGGGGAGAGGAAGGGTTCTTTTATACAGACAGCAACGTGAATTCTCCGATCCAGAAACTTGGGAGGCCGAACCAGAGCCCAACAAGAGGAGATTCCCGGCATTAACAGACATGAGATAGGGCACGGGATCCTCACCACACGCACTAGGGGATTGCTGCACTCTCTTTGGTGGACGCATTTGGAATGTGCCGAGGCCAGACTGCTCTGCACAGCTCGTGGAGAGAGAAACTTGGAACCGTGACCAGGGTTGACGTTGGAAATATTGATAGTGAATCTGAGAACTGGAGGCCAGATGGGCCGAATGGGAGACAGGCAGTTTATTGGGTGCAAGCGTGACAAGCATTACGCAATGCATCAAACAAAGAAAAGGATCTAGGATGAAAAAGAAGAAAGAAGAAAGAAGAAAGAAGAAAGAAGAAAGAAGAAAGATGCGGGAGCATCAGCAGGGATATAGAAGATGTTGTGCGTTATGTAGTTCTCTATCATGAAACCAAACAGACTTTTGAGCTGCCTCCTTTTATCTTTCCAGGTATATCATCCCACAAATAAACGCCAAACGCAAATGCAACGGAGCCAATGACTGGGAAGAGATCAAACGCAAGGGATATAAGTACAAGCAAGACATGTAGTCAAGTCAATCATTCCAGTCCAATCCAGTCGGCTTCCCCGTCCTCTGCCGGCGTGTCCTCGGCAGCAGAGGTGACGACCTCGTCATTCTCGAGGGCCATCATGTCTGCCGCCGTCTTTTGCTTCTTGTTGGCCACTACCGGCGTCGACAGGAGATAGTTGAGATCGTAGACGTTTTTCTCCGCCAGCCGCTTCAGGTTCTCTCGAATATCGTCCAGGGCCCGCTGCACCGCACGGAGTTCCGAGGCATAGATGCCCGAATTGTCTTTGAAGTAGCGTCCATGGCTGCTCAGGAGAGATTCAATCCATACCAGGTTGAATTCCAGATGGGGGGTTTCTTCGGCAGCGTGGGCTACATACCGAAGGAGGCGGGGGAGATAGACCGTGGGTACGGCGCGGACAACAAGGGCAACGTCGGCGGGAGGGATGCCTTCATGCACCACGCGAATGAGCTTGGCCTCGTTCAAACGGAAGGCCATGATCAACGCCTTCAAGAAAGTATTGTCGTCGTCCACCGTATTCGTCGCGCGCGCCTGCTTGGCGCCCTCCAGCGTGGCCAGGATGTTGGCCGGGGTGATATCGATGTCGAGGTCGAAGGGATCAAAGACGAAATCCGTGTCCAGGCTATAAATGAGCAGTCCCTCGGTGGAAGCCGCACAGAACGCGCGTCCGGCGGGAGAGAAGTCGACCGCTGTGACACGCACTTCGGGTCGTGTAGTTCGAGCGCCGGCATCGCCACGTTTGGCGCCGGGCAGGCTGCGATCAACGCGGGTCTCATGGTCCGATGATTCGCCAGTTTCGTCGATAAGGCCGCGCGGGCCTGCTTCGGTCAGGTCGCGACTGTTAAGGATCTCCTGGGTGCCGTCAAGCGAGGTGTTGGCGGAGACAGTGTATTTCTTCACCATGGACCCTGTCGTCACGTCATACAGACAGATGTACTTGCTATTTCCGGCGGCCAAAATGCAGCTGCCATCCGCGCTGTAGGTGATACAGTTGAATGATTTGTTCCCGGCAGTGTTTGCGGCCGTCTGGCGGTCCTTCAGTTTGCGCCCTCCGGAGATGTCCCGGCGTCCATCGACGCCTCCTTGTTGCACGGCATCAGCAACTGACCAGAAGGTCAGCTGGCCATCGAGTGTCGAGGCGGCAACCTGCTGTCCATCGGGCCGGAAGGCCACACTCAGGACGTCCGACATGAGCTGCAGGGGCTCGCTAGTCTGAGATCTGCCAAAGATACTCCAAAGACGAACGGTATGATCCCAGCTACCGCTAACCAAATGATTGCCATCGGAGGCAAATGCCAGAGCGGACACGGGCCCTTCGTGGCCCGACAGCTGGTCGAGCAACTGTCCTGTCTGCACGGACCACACATGGATATCAAAGGAGTCGGGGGAGCCTGCGCAGATCACCTCGCCGCTGGGGTCAACGGCCAGCGAGGAAAAGGACAGGCGAGATGGCGCGGTGAAGGTTCGGAAATTGCGGTACCGGATCAGATCCCACGCCCTTATGGAGCCGTCCAGCGATGCAGTGAAGAGAACACTGCCCTTCTTGGCAAACTGGCAGGCACTCACGGCGCTGGTGTGCTCGGTAAACGTCACGATGCAGAACCCGGATTTGACGTCCCAGACCTTGACCTTGCCATCATCGCTGGTAGTCACGACCTTCTGACCGTCGGGAGAGTAGACAAGTGAGTTCATGGAATCCAGGTGACCCTGCTGCTTCAAAATGTACGATTCCGATTGCCACTCCCACACGAGCAATTGGCCGTGCTTGGAGGAGCCGAAGGCAAGCCACTCGCCCGATTTGTTGACCGTCACGTAATCGATGTTGCTTTGAGATACACTAGATGTTGTCAGTCACTTGCTTGGTTTCACCCCAATAAAGAATAGATATTACCTGAGTTGATGAATCATGTTGAATTCCGGCAAATCATAGAGCCCGAACAATCCGTTGGAGAAACCGACGATCAGAAGATTCGTCGGCGCATGGAAGGCAGAGCAGTTGACCTTGGCGTCGTTCTGGTTGAAGAAGTCTTTCTTGACAATCCTCCAGCGGGCGTCGGCGATATCCTCCATCGTATCCGGGTCTTTTTTCGAGACGTACTCCCATCTGAAGAGCGCACCGTCTTGACTGACCGTGTAGATCTGGTAACGTCAGTTGCGATCCGCCGGAGACGAGTATACACAAAACCTACCGCCTCTTGGTCCGCCGAGAAGTATGCCGCCTTGACACCCTGACGGTGGCCCGATAGCGTAGTGGGCTCGAACCCCTCCTCCGGATCCATACTCCATACTCGCGCCGTCAAATCCTTGGAGGCCGTCAACAAGAAGCGCGAATCGCTGGACCACTCGATACTTTGGATGTCGTCGAAGTGACTGGTGAGTTCACGGTGCAAGATAAACGGTGCAAATTCAATCTCGCCATTGTTATCGGCACCGGGCGACGACGGAGTGTGCCAGATTTGCAATCGTCGCCCGACTGCTACGGCGAAGTGTCGGCCGGAGGGGGAGAACTTAAGGGCGGAGACACGGCCTTTGAAGGAGAAGTGATGGATGACGATTCGGCGACGAAAGTTGGTCAAGATGGCGCGGCCATTCTCGTCAATGGAGAGCAGAAGACTGCCTTGCGGAGTAAGATCTAGACGGTCGATATTGGTGCGATGCGCGAACGGGAGGGTGTAGGAGGTATTTCTGCGCGCAGGATGTTTAGTACATGTCATCCAGGCGACCAGGATCGAGAGAGAGGACGTACTGGACCAGGTCAAAGACCGAGACCTGATTGCCTACTGGCGACAGCAGAGTAGTGCCATCGGGGGTAAAGAGGAGATTTCCTTTGCGATAGACCGTCCCCAGAAGGTTGGAGAACTGGCACAGTGTCAGCCGGAGGGGGTCTGAGGAGGAGAATGGAGGATGCTGGATATCCCCCGAGTTAATCCAGAGTCTCACACACCTTGAAATTGGTCTTCATGGTCGCCGACTGCTCAATGTCTAAGGCCTGTCGGATCTCAAAAAATAAAATCGAATCAAAAGACTCCCGACGGAAACTTCCCAAAACGAACAGCTCCGGTGGTTAATCCGGCGCCGAGACCGGCTAAGCCCATCGGGACTAGGGCGTCCCCGGAGCAAGTCACGCTCGCTTGTTTGCTTCTGTTTGCTTTCTCCAGCAATTCAGGGGCAGCGACTGCCAACTCGAACGGTTTTCGATCTTCTTGAATCGTCTCCCTTTCTTCGCTCCCTGTTGGCCCGTTTTAATTTACTCCCCGGCCTGCCCTGCTTGTTTACTTAGTTTCTTCCTTTCGCTCGCTTACCCTTCCTCGATTCTCTCCATTGATCTCATCGTTCGGTCCTGTTCATCGATCTGTTATCATCCTCTCTCCCACCGATCAGCCCTCCTTGACTATCATGGCCTCCACCGCAGAAACGGCTTCCGCATCCCCCATCGGGATTGCCAATGTAAGTGATGCCATTGAACTGGGATGAGCAGGGATCAATGAGCCTCGATACTAATTGCATTCATAACAGCTCCCCAACCAGCGGTATGTTCTGATAGGCTCCTATACCTAGTGGAGGGGCGGATCCTAACTACAGCTATCCAGACACAAGATCGTCGCTAAACGGGGTGCGGCCTTCACTGTCATGGTTGGTAGAATCTATTCCTATCGTGACAACACGGACCAAATACTGAACTACGAGACTAGGTTGCTGGAGAGTCGGGATTGGGAAAGACCACGTTTATCAACACCTTGTTCTCGACCACCATCAAGAACTACGCCGACCACAAGCGCCGCCACCAGAAGCAGGTTGACCGTACCGTCGAGATTGAGATCACCAAGGCCGAACTGGAGGAGAAATTCTTCAAAGGTGGATAGAACCCGACCCTGTCATTCCCCTCATCGGAGTGACCCGCTAACGCTGGATTGCGTCCTTAGTCCGCCTGACTGTGATCGATACCCCCGGATTCGGTGACTATGTCAACAACCGTGACTCGTGGCAACCCATCATTGAGTTCCTCGACGACCAGCATGAGTCGTACATGTTGCAGGAGCAGCAGCCCCGCCGCACGGAGAAGATCGATATGCGTGTGCACGCTTGCTTGTACTTCATCAGACCCACCGGACACACCCTGAAGCCTCTCGATATCGAAGTCATGAAGCGCCTGAGCTCCCGTGTCAACCTGATCCCCGTCATTGCCAAGGCCGACACTCTCAGCCCTGCCGACCTGACTCGTTACAAGCAGAGGGTAAGATGCCAGCCTGTCTAACATTAAAGGACGGAGACTAATCCATTCCGGTGTAGGTGCAAGCCGTGATTGAAGCCCAGGGTATCAAGATCTATACTCCTCCTATCGAAGAGGATGACGAGCACGCCGCCACCCATGCCCGCAGCCTGATGGCCGCCATGCCATTCGCCGTCATTGGATCCGAGAAGGACGTTAAGACCAGCGACAACCGGGTTGTTAAAGGCCGTCAATATGCCTGGGGTGTTGCCGAAGTCGAGAACGAGGATCACTGCGACTTCAAGAAGCTGCGTTCGATCCTGATCCGCACCCACATGCTGGATCTCATCCACACCACCGAAGAACAGCACTACGAAGCCTACCGTGCGCAGCAAATGGAGACCCGGAAATTCGGCGAGGCCCGTCCTCGGAAGCTGGACAACCCCAAGTTCAAGGAGGAAGAGGAATCTCTGCGGAAGCGATTCACCGAGCAGGTCAAGGTCGAGGAACAGCGGTTCAGACAGTGGGAGCAGAAGCTCATCTCCGAGAGAGACAGACTCAACAAGGATCTGGAAGCCACCCACGCTGCGTATGTTTTCGGAACCCCATGCTACTTCTACTTGTATCGACGTACTAACAGGGTGACAGGATCAAATCGCTGGAGCAAGAGATCGATGGTTTGCAAGGCTCCTCGACCCGGAGCCATGGACGTCGTTAAAAGGTATATCTTTTGGATCACCGGGGAGTGGCTTTCTCGGACAGTGGGAAAAGCAGGAGCAATGCGCATTTGCCTAGATTAATATTGTTAACTTTGACTACCCCTCTTCACTTTCCTTGTCTTCTTGTTTCTTTTTCTTTTTTTTTTTTTTTTTCGGATTTTGTACTCAGGGAAACCATCCGATGGGCAACTGTCCTGCCTCGTATTCTTCTGGCTTTCCCTGTTCTTTCTCTTTGCTTTCTGGAAGCTAGCGATGGTCTGTCTACATCTTGATAATAACCCATTTGTACTCCGTAGCATGTCAATACAGATTTATAATTTGTCTTCTATCTTCTGTCTTACCTTCAATAAGCTTTGGCGGTGAGGAGCGTCAATATGTCGGCGGTGAGCGAAGCTCTCCCTCCACTCGGCCTCGGCCTGAATCTTATCGCCCTTCTTCCTCTGTATATCCATTGCATTTAAAAAGGAATCGATCACAGAACGCAAGGTCAATGACCGCGAACAAATCCTTCCCCACGGAGCTAGCTCACACTCTCAAAACACACAATGGTAAGACTCGCTTTTTCTACCCATTTAACTGTCCAGCTCTAACTCTCGTCCCCCTCAGGTCCCGTAAACGCCATCACCTTCTCCAGCTATCCTGGAACATACGTCCTCACCGGCTCCTCCGACCGCGCCATCCACCTTACCCGGGCCCTTCCCAACAGCAACAGCAAGACGACGGGTCCTGTCGAAACCACATCCCCGATCCAGAAATACGAAGCGCACGGATATTCGGTTCTCGACGTCGCGGTAGCATCAGATAACGCGCGATTCGCGAGCGTCGGCGGCGATCGGCAGGTTTTTCTCTGGGATGTTGAGCAAGGCGGCACGACGAGACGGTGGAGTGGACATGGGGCGAGAGTCGAGGCAGTGCAGTTCGCGGGGGAGGGGGATTCGGTAGTTGTTTCTGGTGAGTTCTCCTTTCGTTCTTTCATCTGGAGAAATGCATTCTCTCTGTCAGTGATATGGATGGATTGGGTTGAACCTGAGCCTGAATCCTGGTGTCTATATATAACAATTGCTTTTAAAACGCGGTGGACCTGGACACTGGACTGTTTTTATGCTAACTTTTTTTCTTGGTATCTACAGGAAGCGCCGACACAACCATCAACCTCTGGGACGCGCGCTCCAACAACTACAAGCCGATCCAGACCCTCCTAGAAGCCGGAGACACCGTATCGTCGCTACACGTGCACATGCCGACATATTCGATCGCCAGCGGGAGCTACGACGGACGGGCGCGCATCTACGATATCCGAATGGGACGGGCGTCGGAAGACGTGTTCGCGCACCCGGTGACAAGCGTGCGGTGCTCAGCGGACGGAAATGCGCTGTTAGTGTCGACGCTGGATAGCCGAGTCAGAATGATGGATCGGGCAGATGGGAAGTTGTTGAAGGCGTTTGGTCAGGAGGGGCAGGGGTATCGGAATAGCGAGCTGAGGATTCGGTCGGTGTTTGCGAGGGGGGACGCCGTTGTTCTGAGTGGGAGTGAAGCTGATCCGACGGACAAGGGAGCCGAGGCGTATGTGTTTGCATGGGATGTGTTGAGTGGAGAGGTCGTTGCGAAGGTTACGGCTGGGAGGGGAGTCAGGGTGGTGAGTTGCGTGGCGTGGAATGAGAAGGGGGGATCTTGGGCGGGAGGATGTTCGGATGGTGAGTTCTTGATATGTTTTATCTGAAGAGAGAGAGGTTGCTAATCGTTGAGCAGGATCCGTCAAGGTATATCAGTGAGATGGCATATGCCCACCGTATATCTACCGAGGTGAGATCAGTGTATGTATATCACCACCGATGTTCGATTCTTGACTACACCTACTACTGGACTGTGTCAGTCCATTATATTTACCGTCTTTAGCTATGATACCCAATTCATTTTATAAACACATGTCAGGTCGTATCCATCACTTCATTCAAACATATCCTCAGACAAGTACCGAAAAGCCTTTAACGTCCTGCTTGATGATACCTTCATCAGATATTGGCACCACTGCATCTCGCTTCGGCTCTAACTTCAGTTACAATTGCCTTGACAACCGTAGCGATTGGCAGCCAGACTGGCATTGGAAGTTTCAATTTCCCAGCATCCATATGGTTATGGACGATTGCCACCGCTATCCTGTCCCTGATATCAGCCCAAAAAAGACACCCTGAAATCCCTGGGACGTAGATGATCTCCCGGTGATCCCCAACAATCGGATAAGAAAGCCCATTCTCCCCTCCAACCAAAATTCCAAGCGCTCCGGCTGGGATTGGACCCCCAAAGTTCTCATCCAGCATCCCTTCTCGCGGTCTTGGGAAGTTCTTGAAGGGGTCATCGAGAGTAATGTCGCCCATGCCGTACATTTTCGCAATTCGGTGGAGCTGAAGGTCAGGTACACCAAATTACAAGTCCTTGATTCCTAGCGGCTCAAGAAGCTCCTCCCTGACAAACTGGTCAAATGGCCGATGCTGCGGATCTGTCCTGCAGATGACCTCTTCTAGGATCCAACCGAACGACAGGGAATGGTAGCAATTGGTGGACTCGGGAGGGAACACCGGCGTGAAACGGGCGATTCTAGAGGTCACTCACTCCCAGTCGCCTAGGAACTATTGGGTCAAGCCGTCCGGCATTTGAGGGATACCGGCACGGTGCGAGAGGACATACTCAATGGTGGTTTTGTCCTTGCCGTTGACGGCGTACTCCGACCAGTACTTCGCCACGGGGTCGTCCACGTGCAGGAAGCCCCGTTCGGCTTGAATGAGGACAGCGAGCGCCGTGATCCCCTTGCTGATTGAGTAATAGGGGAAGAGCGGTCTGGTCCCACTGGGAAACTCTGTTCGACATTGGCAAATCCGGCGTGCACTTCAGCAATGACCTTACCGCGGAAGTAGGCTGTCATCGAGATGCCTGTCACCCCACAGTCGAGTGCTGACTGCAGGGCTTTGGCAATGCGCAGATCGCTTGCTGAGATGTGGAAGTTCATTTTCGTGCTCAACGGAAACATAGGAGAACAGGTATGCTGGCCGTGTTCTGATCAGGGTGAGGAGATCGTTGGTAGTGATCTCGCATTTGGATGTGTCATACCAGCGTTGTCCCCTCAATTATTAAGGGGTTCTTCACCTCCTGGGGCTGATTAGAAAGGGAAAATATCCGCAAACTAATCGTTGTTCGGCTACCTACCTAGGCGTCGGGCTTTGCTTTCGCCACCGAGTTCCAGATTCTCCAGTTAGAGGGACAAAGACAGAGGTACGGTGGATCGGAATGAACTCTTTCGCTTATTGATTTACATGATGCTATCCAACTGTTCGGATATTAGAATCGCACTGATTGATCAAGGCCCACTGATATTCATTGCAGTTATCTACATGAGTTCTTCAACTCATATATCCCTGGGAGACAAGTCAAGGTCTTGTTGAGAGAATGAGTCTATGCGGCATACAAGTACTCATTCTGAAATGGGATAATCATGTGATCCTTTTTTCCGGTGGCACTGTACTATCCTTATCTGCATTCGAAGGCACCAGTAAAGCACTACCCATCGTGTACCCATCGCCGATTGCGCGTCGTACGTCGATGATTTTACCCTCGAACAGTAATTTTCCGGGAGTGCTCGTAAACTGCTCATATGCTGTCAGAAAGTTGGCCTCAAAGATATCCAAGATATGAGGTAAACTTACAATGGCATCAATGGGCTTACTCTTGTTCTTTCTAGCTAGGTGCACCGCTCGGCCAAGATACCAGGCTTGAGAGGCGGTGTTCGGAACCGCGTACTTTCGAATGATGTCGCCTGTCAACGGTCGTGCGCAAACTGCACAGCCCGAATCAACCTCAGTAGCTGTGACTCGTAAGACATCTTCCACACGAGTGGCAGAGTCTGCTTTCTATTATATGGTCAGTCTTCTCTAGTCCGAGAGTATTATATGACATGGACTCACCATCAAAATTGAAGTGTTACCCCTGGCATCGGTGAGTGAACATGCAGTGATGGGCCGTAGAGGTACAAGGTCGCTATTCCAAATCAGAAACCGTGCTTTCGGAACAGATGGGGACAGACTCACAGTGATACATTGTGGGAAAGACCCGTACCATCGTGTCGCCATCAATGACCGGGATATCGTATCCTAACCCCATTAAAAAGGTGCTCAAACCATTCCCACCACCACTTCCATGCGAAGTTAGCCATAGAGCTCTCGCCTCCCTCTCATGGATAGGTTGTCACTTACATTTCGTCGGCCAGTACTGTCTGGCACGAATCGATGTTAGATACCTTACTGAGGTCGCCCAGATGAGCTGCTCCAGAAGCAACTACGATATCCGTTGCGGTGAGGACAGGTCCCCCGAAGACGAGAGCCTTCTCGATCAAGAAACACCCCACGCACTCAGGTCCAACGGTCACATCACAGCTATTGGGGTCTAAGTGAATCTTGCTACGGCCGCCCAGGCCGATACACACCACTTCGGGCATAGAGAACGCTCAACTTCAACGAAGTTCGGCGCTTGGCGTGGGAACCCGGATGGGAGGAGGGCGCACACGTCTGTCGTGGTGCCGCCCAATACGGTCAACACATGGAAAAGAAGAAGCTTGAGTCTTTGGATTGCATTATAGTATGCTTTTCTTTCAAAAAAAATTCTCGATACCTGTTCTGTGAATATTTCCAAGGGTAGACCATCAACGAACACTGCCCTTAATTGAAACTGAACAGTAACGTAACTCATAAACGAGCCACAGAGACTGCGCGCTGGTACGATTGTGGATACCTGACAGGTAAGGCCACCATAGCGACAGTCTTGCTGGGAATAGCACTGTCAGATATCAACCCTCCACCTCCTCGGTCGAACAGCTTCATTTATCCTATTTTGGACGTTATCTTTATCTTCTGTTTCTCCCTCTTAGCCCACCTACTCAGCGCAGGTGCCTAGCACAAATGACACTATCAGAAAGGGGTTCACCCACCATTGCGGACTTAAACAAACGCACGGCACATACCTACCAAGGCATGATCCCATAACCCGGTACATACTCGCCCTGCCTACAGTCTTCCCCCACTCTTGTCGACCTGAATGTGGGGAAAAGACACGATCCATCGAAGTTCGGGTCACGCTAAGACATAAAACAGAGAAATAACCGCAAAAGTGGGCCTCCTCGCATTAGATGGAATCCTATTCTTTTGATCCGGCTAATCATTTGTCGTAGGATTCCAATCATTTCGCATCAGTCATGGTACTCTGGTCCCCAGATAAGCTATCTCATAGAATTCTGGACCTGGAGGGGCAAAGGCCGAATATAATGCTTTATCTTGATATACCCCGTCTCAGCCAGAGACTTCTTCTATAGTATCCGATATTTGCCCTCCTCTCCCCCATTCCTCGACCCATGCATTGTCCATCTTCAGAGACACATACAGTACTTATGATGACTCTGAGATAGACGTGAATACCGGACTAGAACCATCCGAACGCAGTTCGTTTGGTATACGAATGCTGGTGTCGTAGTTTAGGTCGAACAGCCGTTGACTAAAATCCATGTGACTGCTATCAATAGAGTCCTCTGGTGGCATGACGGCGAGCTGTGGCGGGTTGTCAGGGGCATAGGCAGTTCACTATCAACCGCCGTGAAAAAAGAGTCATCTAGGTGACTGATGATCGGGGACATGGGGAATGACACAGCAAAGAATGAATTTAAGTCGTGCTGAGAACCGTAGATGGCCTCATCGTTCTAGGCGGAGGTTCTCGAGTAGAAGGCGTTCGAGTGGCTGATGGTGGTTGAACGATTTTGAAGTTCCTCAGTTCGCAGCTATCGCCGTGCTTCCAGCATTGCGTGCATTGAGGTCGTTTATGGTCACACTTCAGGACGGACAATTAAATATTAATATCGCGTTCACCATGCCCACTACTCACGTCGAGAGATGGATGTAATACTGACTTTCCTCTTTTTACGGGCACACGGCAGACATGCTCCTCTCATTCGTCGCCTGGGAATGGGATTCAACGCGTACTCTATCAAAGACACGCGATGGTGGGCGTCAGCGTGGTGGCTGGGTGGACAAGGTATCAGGGGTACGGCTTAGGGAACAGGTAGGGCTTGTCGGCCAGCCTCCGGGGAAAGGCGGGACCGAAGTCCATTGAGTCAACAGTCAAGAGTCAAGAGTTAGGAGGATGTAGGCTAATTACCGCGCTTATGAGACTGTGGATTGCTGACTCCGGGGCTGCTGGCTGCTCCCAGGTGGGCTTGTTCATCGTCCACCAATTGACATTGCTTGCTCGGTATGGAGGACCGAGCCAGTACTGCAGAGAGGTGCATTTGCAGCCTTATCTTTCCTGTCGTTCCTATCTTTCCTATCTTTCCTATCTTTCCCCACCCCCGCATCTCGTGGTGGTAGAATCGGTGGATTCCTCTTGGATGGATGACGGAGATAGGATGAGTTCCGCATTCTTGGCCAGTCCGGAAAACGGCGTTTCCTCCACATTTCCGGTCACATGTTCTGTTCTGGCCTCTCAGACAGTATGCTCAAGCATGGCATGAGATCTATCAAGCCTTTCTACTTCAATTATCCAGGTGTCTATACTCTGGACTAGAGCCAGACCTAGTCACTCCCATTTCATACATTATAGATCACACGAACACTAGTTACACTAGTATAAAAAATCATCGATGAATTGATTCTCGACTCATCTCAGCTGAAGATCTCAAATCCTTATTAGAATATAAGTTGAGAAAATACATTAGTAGATAAAAAGTTGTTGTATTATGCCAGCCTGACTATACCGGTTTGTCTCATGGGATTTCACTTTGAATGAAGTGTGTCTCAAGGGATAGCAACTATGTACATACATACTATGTACGCAATCTGCCAAACGTACGGCAGGAACCGACAATAAAATAGGCCATGAACGGCTTTAAAACAGAAAGATGTGAGGATAAATAGGATAAGAAGATAGAAGAAGAGGGAAAAAGTAATTTTACTATCTTAGTTACGATCTAACAATTCCCTACTGTAAGTTATTTAGTTCTACTTCACTCCCTACGTATTCTCTGCTTATTCCCTGTGCATGATCACCGCATGTCCTAGTAAAAATTCATTATCTCATTTACCACATTCATTCTCTACACCCGATATCTTTCCCTACGTTGTAGAAATAGTATGCAACTACTACAAGTGAAACAATGCACACAGGACGAACGTAGGCAGTAGCTAGTCGGTCAGTCACTACAGATTATACGGTGAACGCAAATTTAAAGAAAGTAAGTGAGTTCTCTCCTCTTACCAATTCTTATTATCTGCCAATTGATCATAGCAAAGGTGACAGTCCCTTCTATTCCGGATAAATCTGCCCTTCATCTCTAAACGATCATTAATTGTTATGTTATAGCGTTAGTGAGTGCTAGTATCCCTAATGTAGAATATGGTCTATATATCAGCTCCATTCAACTTGACGTAGCTAGTCAGTCGGTGCACAATTGGTTCTCGTAGATCCGATGCACGCTGAAGGAATTGTTTACATAGTCCGTAGACGCGTCACCATGTCTCTTTCTATCATCGGGAGAATTCCCGACGTCTATCATCATCCGCCGTTTACTTTCTATCTTCCCCAGACTTGATCCACCTATAGCGCCCAACCCTGTGGCCCGGCCCATGTTTCCCCGCTTCTCGGGGTTATGTTACCGGGGTAGATCTTGCATGGCGTATGCAACTCGGGATATTCCCGAAATATCATCAGTTTCACTCGGATGTGGAACCGAATGCCTTCTATAAAAGCCCGTTGCTTCCCTCTCTGATAAACACATTTGCACCATACTTTCTGTCTGGTTCTTAGAACTGACATTCATGTGGCTATCCAACATCCACGAAGACTTCCTTCTATAGTTCTCAATTATCTTGCTTTAAGTAAACAGTTGAATCCTCTACTCCCTGCAGTTCAATCCTAAAATGACCGAGATGACCAAGAAAAAATATGATGATATTGTAGATCCAGGTCGCCTGCAGCATGGAGAAATGCAACCCGCTGATGCTGTTTTTGGCGAGATCAACGAGGATGGACCCAACTATCGCAATTTATTTGAACTTATCTAAAGCTTTTTTCCCAGTCTTGCGTCATGCAATCTCCAACTCCTCCCCTGCAACGGCCTATTGAAATTAAAACTGAACTGACCTTATCTCTACTAGGTGACATGGCTTGGAGCCGTTGCGGTCATGACGAAGACCCAGATCGGTCTCGGGGTTCTGTCCATCCCAGCCAGCTTGGATACGCTTGGTATGATACCAGGCGTCATTGTCCTCGTTGTCATGGCCGTGATCACCACTTGGTCAAACTACATGATTGGAGTCTTCAAGCTCCGACATCCCTCTGTCTACAATATTGATGATGTCGGGCAAATGTTGTTCGGGCGTCCTGGCAGAATTATCCTCGGGTCTGTTGACCATTTCAATCGCCTTGAATGCTATGTCTCTTCACGGAGCATGTACGGCTATCTTTGTTGCTGTGGCTACTGTTGCGGCCTTTCTTCTGGGTAGTATCCGGACCCTTTCTCGCATCAGTTGGCTTGCATGGGTTGGAGTCATGTTCATCATTACATCCAGTAAGATTTCTATTTCTATTTTGGCCAATCAACTGATGGCCGCGAAAAAAGCATTCACATTGGGGATTACTGATGATGCCGATGATGCTAAATTTGTTCTTATATAGTTATTGTCCTGACCATCTCTGTGGGCCTCCAAGGCCGACCCTCTACCGTTTCCCAGACTCAGCCCTGGGAATCCGACTTCCAACTCACCAGCAATTCTCCGAGCTTTCCCGAGGCCATCTCCGCGGTGGCCGCTATTTTAAATGCCTACGCCGGCACCCCGGGTTTCTTCGCCATTGTATCTGAGATGCGCAATCCTCATCACTATACTCGATCGCTGCTGATCTGTCAGTCGGGCGTCACGGTCCTGTATCTCGCCGTCGGCATCACGGTTTACTATTACTGCGGCTCGTATGTCGCTTCGCCGGCTCTTGGGTCGGCTGGGTTACTGATGAAGAGGGTTTGCTATGGCTTTGCTCTGCCGGGACTTGTGGTTAGCACGTTTCTATTCGTCCATGTAAGACATTGCATTCTCTCCTACCTACCTATTACCTATCTACCCCGTGTCTGGAACTGTTAACCCATGCCCTTTTTCTTCCAAGCTCGCCGCCAAATACATCATCCGCTTCCTGCACGGATCACCGCATTGAACCAAAAACTCCGTCCCCCACTGGTGCGCCTGGTTAGCCTGTACATTCAGCATCTCCATAATCCCCTACATCATCGCCAGTGCGATTCCCGTTTTCAACGATATAGTATCCTTGATCGGGGTGTTGTTTGGATCTTTTCTGTCCCTCCAGCCGATGGGCTGTATGTGGCTTTACGATAACTGGGGGACTCGCCTTCGCTTACAGGGGAGGTCGGAGAGAATCCGATGGACGTTCATGTTGTGTTGGAGTTGTTTTGTCATTGCATTTGGTTGCTTTATCATGGTTTCAGGGACTTATGGGGCTGTGGTCAACATTAGGGATGGGTATAGGGAAGTTGGGGGGCTGGGGGGCAGCGGCCGTGGTCTTGTGATGATAATTCGATTTCTATCTAACCAGTCTGCCTAGTATGACCGACCCTAACTTGAGTGAAATACCTCTGAGAAGGTAGTTAAACACTGTACCTTTAATATAGGTATTGGTGGATGAAGTGGAGCTATCAGATTTACATATTCATTTTGCATATCTCTGCCAAGTTCCTTGAATATAGTCTCGCAGGGGTGGGATGGAATCCAAGAATCGGAGTCAATGGCTTTATATATGCAAATATCATCTACTAACACAATCTTGAAAGCTGCTGTCGAGTGAACTACCTGTGCTACTACTGATAGAATTGCGATATATATACTCGTTGTAGATGAATGCACTTTGTCTTAATGATACCTCGAGTTGTGCTAATGAGAACTATATTGAGAAGTTTTTGCAGCGTGTAGGGACCCATGAACCCCCCGACAGAGCTCACTGTGCAAAAAATAAATAATATCTGTCTCATTTCCGAGCCGAGCCTGCATGCAAGCCACCTATCATGGGGTTAGCATCTCCACAAGGAATCTACTCAAGTAAACCTAATAAACTGACCGGTAACCAGCATGTCTGCACCCGTTGTGAAAGCAGCGGCGTCGCTGAGTAGGTAGCACACCATCGGCGTCAAGTCCTCCGGGACACCTAGTCGTTGAAGCGGTGCCCCCTCCCTGTACCAGTCCAGCGTGACTCGCTTCTCTCCTTGCAAGCGCGCGAGAAGAGGGGTCATAATGGCGCCTACTCAAGCCTCCACCTGTTAACGACATACTAGAACCTAACAAACCAGAGATCCGTTTCGATTCACTTACCCGGTGAGATACTGTTGACTCGAATCCCATACTGACCGAGTTCCCCAGCAAGAGGACCCACCAAGCCCTTGACAGCTGCTTTGCTAGCATTATACGCCGACTGGGGCTGCACGGGGACGTAAAATCCCTGACCGTTGACACTGGAGATGGCAACGATACTGCCCTGGTTTTTAGATTCGACTAGATGTTGCGCGAGGAGCTTCATCGTCCAATACGTTCCCAGGACGTTCACGTTCAGCGTCCGCTGCGTGAGCTCCCAGTCAGCCTCGAGTAATGGCGTGTCTCCGACGATGCCCGCTGCGGTTAACCCGCCGTGCAGCTGTCCCATGGCGTGCAGGGAGCGGGCGAACGCGCTCTCGAGAGATGCCTGATACGTCACGTCCCCTTGGGTATAGAATGTCTTGACGTTGTAACGTGCCTGGAGACTGTGGAACTCTTCTACCGGTTCGGTCGCGGTGTCGATTACTGCAATACCCCCGCCCAGTTGGGCGATGGCTTTCGCGCAGGCGAATCCAATCCCTCGGCCGCCGCCGGTGATGAGGAAGTTTTTGTTGCTGAGATCAAACCGGTCGGTCACTTTGACCTCGCTCAGCGCGCTGGGATCAACGGAAGACATGATACGGAAGGATTGGGATACGAGCAATAGTGTAGATGTGTTGGGTGAGGTCGCGGAAGACTATGGTACGGATAAACCTGAACAGGAGGCATGTATAAATATCGCCTCTATACGAGCACGGATTCGTGTCCGACATGCTGGAAGGGGGTCTCATTTTCATTGCCTTGAATGGCATGTATACTGAGTACATACGATTCTCCCCAGCAGTGGGGACGGAGAGACAAGGGATCGCCAGCTCCCGAAGGTCAGGCTTCCCCGCAGTAAAAACTTACGAATGACAACCTGCACCGGATATTTTTACCATTTTTACCATTTGGGTACTGTCTAGATCCTCGGATCGGGTGCCGTAGTACGATGTGTCTCGCATGTTCCCTACGAAGTGATATAAGCTCTTGTCATTGCCATCGTTATCGACGGGTGGAAAGCGAAGTGTTGGTCAACATTCAGTATATCAACCCTTGCCTCTTTTCAATCCAACCACCCCTTATACACACTATATCCCATTCTAGGCAATCAACGCCACGATGACCAACGGAGAATCCTGGAAGAGACCTCGTGTCAGTCTCGGTCTTCTCACATTTGGCCCCGACGGAACCGAATCATACGGCTCCCGAATCACATCTCTCGACGAATTCAACGAATGCCTAGACTATCTCCAGTCTCGAGGGTACCACGAAGTCGACACCGCGCGGACCTACGTCGGGGGCCACCAAGAAGGCTGGACCAGACGTACCGGGTGGCGTGATCGAGGCTTGAAACTGGCCACCAAATGGTATCCCTATCAGGCGGGTGACCACGCTAGAGCGATCGTCAAGGAAAATCTCACCAAGAGTCTGAACGAGCTAGGCTCGGACAGCGTCGATATCTTCTACCTGCATGCGCCCGACCGGGCAACGCCGTTCCAGGAAACGCTGGAGGCGTGCAACGAGCTGTACGAAGAGGGCAAGTTCCGACAACTGGGCCTCAGCAACTACGCCGCGTGGGAGGTCGCCGAGCTCTGGACCATCGCGGACCAGAAGGGCTGGATCAAGCCCACGATCTATCAGGCCATGTACAACTGCCTGACGCGGGCCATGGAGGAGGAGCTGGTGCCTTGTTGTCGGAAATACGGCCTGGAGCTGCTCGTGTACAACCCCCTGGCTGGAGGGGTGTTGAGTGGGCGGTACCAGAGCAAGGAGATCCCCGATGATGGCGGGCGGTATTCCACCTCGGATCCGGTGGTCGGGGCCATGTACCGCGAACGGTACTTCAAAGATGTCAACTTCGAGGCGTTGAAGGTCATCCAACCGGTCGCGGACCGGCTCGGGTTGACGCTGTTGGAGATCGCGTTTCGATGGCTCGTCCACCACAGTCAGCTGCGGGTCCAGGATGGCAATGATGGAATCGTGATTGGAATCAGCTCGCTAGCCCAGTTGAAGAGTAATTTAGACGACCTCGAAAAGGGACCGCTGCCAGATGAGGTGCTAGAGGCTCTGGATCTCGCGTGGACAATCACCAAACCATCGTGCTCTTTATACTGGAGGTAGACTATATGGGTAGCTTGAGGGAAATGCATCTTTTGGTTGTTCCCAGTCATTACCTACCTATCAGCAGTTCTAAATCGACCTCGTAGCGTAAAGTCGCTACTGAGTAGATACAAGGTACCAGGTCTCTCTACTCCATACCTGAGAATAGAAATCAATACATCCTCCACCCCCCACTCACCGAAACAACCTGCCCCGTAACCCACCTCGACTCCTCGGCACAAAGCCACCCCACAACCGGAGTAACATCCCTAATCTCCCCAATCCGTCCACCATCCGCCGGTGTCTCCTCGACCTGTCTCCTCACCAACCCCTGATCGATCCCATCCAACATGTTCGTCTGCACAGGGCCTATGTTCACCGCGTTCACGGTGTGTCCGCCCGCGCCGAGCTCGGTGGCCCAGCAGCGGGTTAACCCTTCCAGGGCGGATTTGGAGGAGCTGTAGAGGGAGAGATTATTGAAGCCGCTGCGGGAGGCGACGGAGCTGATGTTGATGATTCGGCCGCCTGCTCCTCCGGCTCTTGACTCTCTTGGGGTGTGTTTTTGGGATGGGAGGTAAGGCAAGATAGCTTGCGTGAGAAGAATCGGCGCAAGGACGTTCAGGTTGAATGTATCACCGTAAGTTGTCGGGGTAATGTTGGGTAATGGGGAAGGCGTGGATACGGCGGCGTTGTTGACGAGGATGTCGATGGTGGAGGTGTGGAAGGCAGAGAGGGTGGTGGTGATGATGTGTGAGGCGGAGGTGGGGATGGTGAGGTCGGCTTGGATGGCGATAGCGATGGCTGGAGATGGAGTTGTGGATGAGGTGGTGGTGTGATTTGGGAGGGAACTGATTTGGTTGACGAGGCTGGTTGCGAGGGCGGTGCTGCTGTTGGAGGTGTATGTGATTGCGACCTGAATTTTTGTTAGTTGAGCCTGTACTCCGAAGCATGTGGTAGTATAGTCATGAAGCAGGGCCTTACTCTCGCGCCCCGTTCCGCCAAATCCAAAGCGATGCCAGCGCCAATACCTCGCGATGCGCCGGTGACAATGGCGATTTTGCCCGTCAGGGTTTGCGGCTTAGGAGGTTCCATTGCCTGGTAGTATTTGTAGCGTTGGTTCAATTTGTGTCTATTAGGTTATCAATCGCAGACGAATTATAAATATGAATGTAGGTATGCTGTAGCATGTAGACCTAGACAATCTCATCCAACATACATCCCTTAGCTCGTATCTTATAAGTCCTTGGGAGTGAGGACACAAATGGAGATAAATCCTTAAATCCTAACCCCGAGCACCGTCTACCCACATTTAATGAACTTCACCAACAGCGTCATGTACATTGACCTCAGTAGACCAAATGAATCCTTCGAGGATCCACGGTGTACACCGTAAGTACTCCGTACACGTAAGTCCGGTCATCCTCCAGGACTCTGCCTCAAATGGAATATAGAATGATGATCATATTCCGTAAATCAGAGCTCCATTGCTATACATGAATAGAAAGATAGGTAAGTAGATAAATAGGAGGTAGGTACAAAAACTGCAAACCCCGCTGCAATGACATCCAAGTATTCATAATCAATCACAATTTCAATCCAATTCGCTATAGCTGTTAGCTGCTCTGTTGTCGTTCTCTCTTCTTTCTTGTTAACGCAGAAATATAAGTATAAAGTAAATTGAAAGAAAATGCGATCATAAAAGAAGGAAACGAAAGAAAAGAAAAAAACGAAAGAAAAGAAACAAACATGGTATCTGATTCCCACGTAACCAAAAAGAACTTTTTTTTTCATGCAATGCCAAATATCCCGCAATTCGTACCTCCCAAAGAAGAAGAAATGTACCTGACAAGGGCATAGAGAAGATATGGTCTACTCAGTCGTATATCGTGAAAACCATACTGCGGAGAGCAAACCCCACATCTGAGAAACACTCTACCTCCATCTCACTCATCTCTCGTCCATTGACTCTTCTCTAGAGCATCGACCGCGCGATTCAGCTCGTGCTCACCAACAATAATAGTCCCCGCGCGAGCCGTACTCAAAAAGCTAATCTCCACTGCATCAACAGCGGAATCCAAATCTGGCTGCAGACGATGGGTAGGCGGATTCGTGGATCCGTGAAGACTGCGACGCCCGAAACTAGGGCTAAGCGATTTCACCGGCCCGCCGGACCCGACGCTGGACGAGAGAAAGTGCTTAAAGGAGCTATCGATCGACGAGCTGCCGTTGAACGATTGCGACAGGATGGTCGATGAGTCGGTGAAATCGTCACGTCGCGTGGCGTCTGCGAGGCGCCCGGCGACGCCGCAGACGATGCCCGTGGCTTCTAAGGGGAGGCTGCGTAGGTCGAGCATGATAGGGACGAGGATCTCCTCTTTCGAGCCGAGGAGGAGACTGGTTTCTTCGTCGGAGTCGCCGTTAGATGTCGGGTCGCGGGAGAAGCGCGGGAGTAGGCGCTTTTCGAGTAGAAGAGATGCGGCCGGGTCGGCGGCCGTGAGAGTCAACGAGAGGAATCGCGGCTTGTCCACGACGAGGACCACGGTCAGTGCTTCACGAAGGATGGAGATGGAGCTGGCTTCGCTGCTGTAGGGGTGATGAGCGGCACATTGGACCAGACGAAGAGATTTGTCAACGCTAGGGACAATGTGGTTCCTGCGGAGAGAGGAAAAGGTGCGCGTCTGCAGTTCATCGAGAGACGAGGGTGGAGGCGTCGCTGGCGGAGAACCGAGACTACTCGATGAACGCGAAGATGTGGGACTAAATAAGCTATTTGATTGCGCCTGGTTGTTGCTGATAGTAAATGCTTCGGTCGACATCTCGAATTGAAAGCCTCGCTTCTCCAGGGCTTTGATGACGTGTGCCTTGCTGCGAAGAGGCACGATGATATAATCGGCGAAGTAGGTGGAGATGAAAAAGATGGATCTGAAAATGTTAGCACAATTCTAAGACTCTAGAAGACCAGGATCCTCATACATTCCTGCCATGGCCAGAGGGCTCGTCAACTCCAGCACTCGCTGGCCCGCTTCCAGCCCTTCCCCGTACACCTGCATCGCAATGAAATCGTCCTGGCTAATGGACGGCCGACTCTGTGAGGACGAGCTGGTATTCACAAAGCGTTCGACCAGCGGAGCAAAGTACTGGTTCGCCAGCTGCCGCGGGCACATGATGGAGCATTCGACGGGAGTGATCGAGAGGTTCAAGAACGCCGGCTGCGCACGTCGCGACGGATCTGTCTGGCCGTCGTCCCCATATTCGCCGCGAATTTCATCCAGCGAAGGCACTTCATGGAAAAGCACCTGAAGAATAGGGTTCAAGAAATACGGATATAGGTCGAGCGGGATGTGGACCAAGGCTAATCGGTCGTCCTGTCAATAAGGCCGGTTTAGCGACGGCCATACGAACTCATACGCAACTGCAAGAACTAACAAGAGGAGAGAGGGAACAACTCACCATGAACTGGACCTGGGCCGAGACGAGTGACAACGACTGGTCCATGGCGTCGAACAACACCAGCACCGGAGCGATCTAGGATTATGACCAACAATCTCCTCTCGTACAAACAGCACAATTAACCACACCAAGTCTTGCTCGAAGCAGCTCCGATCAAGTTGATATTTGAACAAACCGCACCTCCCAACCGTCGAAATCTCCGTAGATAGTAAAAGAAAAAAAGTAGAAACACCAGTGGAAGAAATAAAAACCACGTTGATGACCTTCACCACCGGATATGATTGGGATGGTGAATAACTGAGGACCGAGAAAGGGAGAATTTCTTCCGTCTTTGCATGTCGCGCGTTGGCAAGGGGGACGTATGAAGCCTGTCGGAGGAGTAGTTCATCGACCGCCCTTCGTTACGCCATTGCCCGGGGAAATGATACCAAGGCAATCCGACCAGCACGCAAGAGAGCTGAAGAGGACAAGGCGGATGAGGATCGCGATGATCCAGAAAATAAGAAAACCTCCGACCAGAAAAGGGCACTCAATCTAAGTAAAAACCCCAGGGTGACTCAACGGGGATTTCAGCTGATTAAGGAATCTAAGATTCGTGGGTCAGGAAATGCCGACAAAGAAGGGAGAGAAAGAAGGAAAAGATAAAGAAAGAATTGAATCCAATTTTACAACAGGGACCTGAAAGAAAAGAAGGAAGGAAAGAGAAGAAACGAAATGAAAAGCTTGACAGCGACGACTTCAGTTTCCTCCTTACAGACCCATCCCCATCCCCATGCAACCTTTCCAGTTATCTCTCCCAGACCAACGCATCGCGAAGAATCAAACCATGACAATCAAATCAATCAATCAATCAATCAATCAATCACTCACAGAATTACCTAACCGACGGGTCTCCACCGACCTTATCAACTGCTGCAGTTTAAGTCTGGATCGCCCGCGCTAAACGCTGCTACCGACCAATGCCCCGTGCTGGCTGATACTGCCCGGCATGTCCAATGAAATTGATGATAATGAAGTCGGGTTGGATTGTCTTGGTTTCTTCTGTTGGTTCGGTTCTTTGCTCTCTCTGTCGCGCTCTCCCCGCACTCTGATGTCGTGCGAGCTAAATGGGCTGTTGTCAGGTACGCTCGGTCACACACAGGAGCCACCGCTGCATGGCGCTCTCCCCTTGGCAAAAGTCCAGGAACTGGAGACGTGCAGTCCGGGGCGACCAGTAGGAGGGGCGTTGGAAGTTAGAAGCTGACGCACAGACAGACAGGCAGACAGGCAGGTCAGACACTAGGAGTTCGAAGTACGAGAGAACTTAGACGGAGAGAGAGGGAGACACAGTGGAGACGGAGAAGAGAGAACAAAGAGGAAGATGAGATGGCGATGATGCGATGATTATGGCAGCATTGTCACCCGAACAGTTCTCCCTCTCTCTGTCTCTCTTCCTCTATCTTATGATCTCCATTCTTCATCCCCAAGTCTATTCGGGTGTTCTTGGTATTCTTGCCACCAGTTCATCGGACGATCGGCAGTCATCATCCGATCATCGTCATTCTGCATCCATCTGCATGCCTCCCCTCATCGACAGTCTACACCGTACTTCGTAGTCCCAACGAAATCTCGATCCATACGTTTCTCTTGATTAATCACATTGTGACCTCAAAGATCCACTACCGATGACCTACTTATGTTTATGGTTACATCCATCTCCTTTATTTAGTACAGGAGAAATAAATATGAAAGATAAAACCCTCAAAATCCTCCGATCTGACATAACAGTCCTGTCCTGGTTGGTGGTGGCAAGACAAGAAAAAGAATACCAAACTGCAAACGCCCGCAATGCACGGCACCAAAACCATCCCAATAGACAAATCCACATAGAGCAAATAGGAATAAAACACAATCATTCGATTAAAATTTAATCGTCGTCCACTCGGGCGCGTTTCGATCCCCGGTCTTCGGCCTCCTGAATGCCGTAGCGCTTCTGGCCAGCACCGGCCGTGACGTCGGCAATCATGCTGTCGATGCCGAACGGGTCGGTGGTGTCTTTTTCGAATTGAACGGGGCCCTGACGTTCCTGTTTGATTTCGTTAGCTATCTGGCCTGCTACCCGTGTAGAGATATGAGGGACTTACCTCGGCATCTGCCGCTCCTCGGAATCCCTCCTTCGCCTTTCCAAGCACCTCGAATCGGCTGGACTTCTGGATCTTGCTCATTTCACCCTCGCCGCCCTCGTCGTCGTCGGCGTCTGCCTGGGCCCGCGGTCGGTAGATGCTGTTGATGGCGTCCTGCGCCGCAAACAGAGGCTTGTCGTAAGGGTTATCCTCGTTGAATCCTGTGTCCATGCCACTCGTCTGGTTAAACAGACGCGAGTCGTACATGGTCTCTGAGGACTGCGTCGGCTTGGCCAATCCCAGCGCCACCTTCTCGGAGATATCTCGGTTCTGCTCCCGCGCCATCGTCTGAATACGACGCTCCGTACCCATACGTGACTGACGCAGCTGCCGCTCGGCATCCTGTCGCCGCTCGCGACGCGCCTGCTCCCGCGCCCGGGCAGCACTCTCGTCCTCGCTAAGCGATTTCGACCGCGAGGAGTACGCCGGACTGCGACTGCCACTGCGGGAGCGGGACCGCGAGCGAGACACGGCCCGCGAGTCCTGTCGACTGCTGCCAGCACGCTCGGCACGCGCCTTCTGGGCCAGCGCCCGCAGATGATCCTCCTTCTGCGCCTTCTCCTTCTCCGCCAGCTTCTGCTGCATCTGCGCACGTAGTCGGACCTCCTCACGGGCGTGTCGGTCCGCCGTGAACAGAGCCTCGGCAAACTGGGCGAACTTGTCGTTGATCGTCACATCCTGGAGCCCGCGACCGTCGGCAGCCAGACGCTTATCCAGCGGCACCGTGTAACCCTTGGGATTCTTCCAGTTCGACACGGGCGGCGGGATCTTCCAGGCCTCCTGGTCCTCGGCGGTGAGCTTCCGGGGCGGCGAATGCATGACCGGGGGCGGCGGCGAAGGCGGACCGCGGGGGATCTTCTTGTGCTTGAACTTAGGCGGCTCCATGGGATCATGCTGTCTGTCGACGATCTTCATGATGCGATCATTCTTCCGATCGGTGTCACCCATCTGGTTGGCAGGCGTGTAGCGCACAAACGTAGGCTCAGCGCGCTGTCCACCCTTGACGTTCTTGGGCTTCTGCGAGGCCACAGCCCCATCCACCAGACTGGCCAGGGCGTTCTTCGTCTTCTCCATCTGCGCCGCCACGTCCTCCTCCGACGGTCGGTCCAGCGAGATCTCGCCCATGTCGACCCGCTGGCGCAGGGGGATCAGATCCTTGAAGGAGGCGTGCACGATACGGTTGTCGCCGTGGCCGCGGCGGGCGATCGCATCGTACTTAACCTTGCCTTCGGCGTCGACTTGCACGGTGAGCGCGTTCGACGTCGACGAGCTGCCCTTACGTCCCATGTCGAGCGGATACTGAGCGACCAGGATCTCGGGGAACGCGCCGCCGTCGCCAAAGTCTTCGGCGGCCCGGGGGCGCCAGCCGGTACGGTTGCCATAGGGGGGAGGGCCGGTTTTCTGTGATCGTACCACATTTGTCAGTTCAGAGCTTCTTTGCATCGAAAACAACCTGTAAAAAGGCCGATGGCTGGGGGGTGAGAAACTCACCCTTAACACAATTTGAGACTCGTCAATCTGCTCGGGGCCCACGACCCGCGGACCACGGGGCTGCGCGTGTTGCGGCAACTCCTCATCCTCGCCGGTGTATTTCGGCTTCGGCAGGGATTTGAAAAGCCCCTCCGAAATGGATGTCATTATGGAGAGTGGGAAATAAGTGGGATGGGAGTGAGGGGAAATAGAATGGGGGAGATGGAAGGAAACTCGAAGGCGGAGATGAAGTCGCCGCTTTTTCTCTGCGCGGGTAGCGCTGCAGTGCGCCGTAGTCTGGCCTATGCACGCAGTATGGCCTCGACAATGCTTTGTAGACGATTCAGATGCCATGGGTTTTTTTATTTTTAATTCCATGTGTTATTTACAGCTGATCTCATAAACTATCTCATTTAATTCTTAGAATCTTTGTCTTGTAGCAAAATTTGCGGAGCTTGCCTTTCACAAAAGATATGACGGATTCCTAAGGCATCTGGATCTTCTACAGTCTTTGTTTGAGGAATATCTTGACTTATCTGTGCAGAATATCCGCGTAAAATTAATAAATCAATTCAAGTCAATCCATAATCAAGAGTGGCGATATGCAAGTCATGCTAAGCTAAGAAACAACAGCAGAAAGGAGTATCTAGTACGGGTCATAATTATACAAACATCAAGTCACCAACCCCAAAGAACAAGGAAAAAGTCCTATATAATATCAATCAAAGCAAATGTGTCCTCATCGGACAGGCAATGCCCTCGGCATCCTTTGCCTCCACGTAATGCTCCTTGCCATGATATGTATACCAGACCTTCAACGTCTTGGGCAAAAGCGGTGCGGGATCATGGAACCCGAGTATTTGGAACTGGGTCGAGTTAGCATAAGTACATCCGGACTGATAGTGCAGGGATTTGTTCTAACTTACCTTGGTCGTGTCCTTGGGAATCACCAGCTGACCGCGATCAACCAACGCAGCCACCGGGATAGTGACGTCGACAGCCTCGTAGCCGCTGAACCGATCCCTACCCTTACGATCCTTCTTCGAAGAAGGATCAAGACCATACTCCGCCTTGGTGACAACCAGACCGTTCTGGTCCGCCTCCTTGGCCTGTCGCCGACGCACCTGCTCGGTCATCAGTTCGATAGCCTGCGCACTCTCGGCCCTCTTCTTGGGAATCGACTTCTTCAGCTGTTTCTGCCGCCGCGCGATCACCCGCCGACGATTCTTGCGGTCTCGCGGACGGATGAACCCGAATTCCCAGGCGCAGTACGACGCGAACGGCACCAGCACCATCATCGCCGCGAGGTCGATGTTGGCCGCCTCGAGCGGGAGAAGCGTGATAGGGACCCGGATGCGCTGACCCAGTCGACCCCACGAGACCGTCAAAGCCACGCCGCGATTTCCTTGCAACCCGACGCCCAGTCCCATCCGGGTCAGCTCGCCGACCTGGCGCGTTCCTTCGATATTCCAGCCAACGGAGAGGTCGACGCCGACGGTGCTCTGTATCTCCAGACGAACGCCTCGCGGCTCGTCAACCGCAGGCACCGCATAGTGGTTCTCGGAGCTCCATTCCGACCGCGCGACTTCGGTCGCCGGTTTCCCGGAGAACAGATTACGCGCGTAGTTGAATGTCAAGCCGGTGGTGAGCGGGTTGGCCGAGACGGCGGCCTGCCACGACTCGGCGGCCTTGTCCTCGGCCGTCTGCTTCTTGCGCACCGTCGTGTACTCCTCGTCTTCCTCCTCGTCCGTGTCATCCACGTCATCGTCCAGAGAGGCGGCGTTCAGCGGCGAGTTCGGCAGACTCATGAAGCCGAACTCGAACCGACTGTCCGGATTGCCAGGGTAGAGCGCCGTGTGCACGTCCATGTCGAAATTCCCGAGCGGCGACAGCAGCACCTTCAGCACCTCGGGCCAAGGAATGATGCCACTCGACCAGTTACAGAAGGTGTGCTTCCCCTCGCCAATCTCCCTGATTACCTGCACGCCCATGACGGGAGGGCATCGGTAAACCGAGTGCAACAACGTGGCACTCAAGTTGACCCGGAACGGCTTCGTGCCGGGCACAAACTGCACAGCCTTGGCCAGTCTCGTTTCGACCGAGGGCACCGGCAACAGCATCGCGGTCGCCGAGGCGCCCGCGTAACTGAGGAACGAGAAGGGTCGCCAGCCAAGAATACCCTTGGCGTCGGCGAAGTCTCCAAAGACGCGAGTGACACTCGCGCCCAGCGTCAAGTCTCGCGCAGCGAGGATCGGCGGCTCAGCAACCTGCGTATCGTCAGCATCCGTGCGAACAGAGTACTCTGTGCCGTGGGCTCGCTCTCCCTACCTCGTGATCCTCCTCCGAGTCGTCCTCCATGGTGAGGGTATACTTGCGGGAAACGGGCTGGAGCTGACCCGCAATGCCCGTGTGGATGGTCATATCCACACTCTCCTCCCAGGGCAGATGGCCGGCTGACTTCGCGGCTCCCTTGTCCTCCGGGGAGAGGTCATTCTCATCATCGTCGTCGTCTTCTTTCTGCTCGTCTCCGAGCAAGACGCGCAGCGACGGAAACGGTGTCTTGAACGAATACTTCAGACTAAAGTTCGACAGACGCGGCTTTTCCAAGACGAAGTAAGCGATCTCCTCTTCCTCATCGAGCGTAATCATCGATGAGGCATCAACGCCTAGAGTCAACGAGCCCTGTCAATCAATTAGCCATTCATCCATACACTTGAGAGCCATCCTTCATCCATCATCCATCCACCACACATCATGAAACACCTCCATCCCAAACCCCCAGAAGTAATAAAAGAAAAGAGAAAGAGAGAGAAAACAAACCCGACTATTAACCAACCCCTCCACAGCCCTCCTCTCCCTCCTCTTCATCGTTTCCAAAAACCACCCCCGAAACTCCCTCCCACTCATCGCTCTCACCCCGACCTCCTGCCCTTGACCCGTCCCATCCTTTTGTTTACTCGCCTCCCCCCTCTTCCCCATCGCGCCATGAACCCCCCACTCGCGCCTCACGCCCTCGGCACCCAAGAGATCATAAACCTCGCGTTTCCGTTCATCCAGCAACGTATCCGACGCGACGCGCAACGCATCGAAGTACCGCGCCGCCTGGGCCTGGAGCCGCGGGGGCTGATGATCCGGGTGGAAGATGAGGGTGCGTTGACGGAAAGCGGACCGGATTTCCGATTCGGAGGGGGCCGGGGTACGTGAGAGGCCGAGGAGGGCGTAGTAATCTGGTTCGGTCGAGGAGGGGTAGGACATTAGGTGGGCGTAGTAGGAGGAATCTTCTTCGGGAGAGAAGGCGTCGGGATTCTCATCGTTGTCGAAGGCGCTGGAGCTGGCGGTGTTCATCTCATTGGGGAGGTTTGGTCGCTCGGCTGGATCGGAGGGGTTGCCGACGGTGATGAAGTCGTCGGCGCTGAAGCTGCTGCTGTTGTCTGATTGCGACATCCCTGCAAGTTTGCCGGTCGGATCTTTGGGAATGGGTTGCCGACCGAAAAGGAGTTGCTCCTTTGAGGTCCTTGAGATCCTTGACGGAGGTGAGGTGGGATTTGCTTTAACTAGTACGGTAGGTACCTAGAATGGAGGAAAAAGAAAGAAATAATAATAGATTCAGGAATTCATCCGGTCGGGAATGCCACAGGCCATATTCCTTTTTCTCTGTCTTTCTGTGTTTCTCTCCAGAGGAATTGATTATGCATCCATGGGATGATGTTTCTTTTGGTTTTGGTTTTTTTTTTTTCGTTTCGTTTTCATTTTCTCGTTCTTTTCCCGTCACGCCGATGACGTCGGCAATGCCGGCTTTAGCGTCCGTAGAGTTATCCGTGATCATCCTGGGGAGTTTATTCAAGTTGATAATGTCTAGCAGTATAGACGGTGTGTCTAGTACGATATATGTGTTTGCTCGAATAATGTCCTTAATACAGAATTCATTGCAATTGAAACGTGCTCAGCACAGTTTGTGTATGACGTACTCAATAAACATGATATACAATCCCTTCTTCCCCTCCATATGATACAGGTCACAATGCGCTCAGCACAAGATCATATCATCACAGGATCACTCCCGGTCAAGAATATAGACAAATAGAATAAACTCATAGAGGCTCACCACCGCACACAAATGAACAAGAAAATCCCCGGGTATACATTACTAGTGTTGACGGCAATGGCCTCGTTTTGGTACACGGCATCAACATCGCTAAAATAAACAGATCACGAAAGAAGAAACAAAATGAGGATAAAACAGGAAATTTGGTAGCTCTCAGCTAGGATCTCTTATCCAGAGTGTTGTCTCAGCTGGGATCTCTGACCCAGAGGATGTTGTCCTCCGAGAAGGGAACGTTCCCAACCCCCAGAGCGACGAACAGCCGTTCGCGCGGCATCTCTTCGTACAGGAGGTCTTCATTGGCCGAGGACTCCTGCTTCTGCACGCTGCTGCGAATCTGACTATCCAGGGAAAGACTCTTCGTAAGGAAGGCAATCTTGCCCTCCAACTCTAGTGTCGGGTAAGGCACCTCGGCCATCGCATTCAGCCGTGCCTCGATCAGGGCCACGAGAGGTACGGTGCTGGCCCAAAACCGGCTCAGCTCGCGCATCACTTCGAGGCCACCGCCAATAAGGCGAATGCACTCGGGAAGGTCCACGATCAACCCGCCGGCGCTGAGCACGTCGACCGCAGACAGAATCACGTACCCCAGAAACGGGTTGAGGAGGGTTCCCTTAGAGACATTGGGGTCCAAAGCCGACCGGGAAGACTCGTAGTCGGCCGCATATCGCATGAGAGCCACCGAGATCCGCAGAATCTCGACCGCGTGGTTTCGGGTTGCGTGGATGTACCGATCCACCAGTCCGTCCGGAAGATTTTGGAATCGGGCGTGCCGATTCAGCTTCATCAAGGTTGCATGGTATAAGAGGTGTATGGAAATGAATGCATCGGCCTTCTTCGCTCGAATGCTGCGTTCCATGTTGACGGCCGTGAAGGTCAAGTGGTCCGGCAGTCTGGCAGCCCACTCGTCCGACCGGCGAACAACATTGGCATGGAACTCCCCGAACAGCCTGCTGTAGGCCTCGGCCGGAATCAAAGACAATCGAAAGACGTGATCGGAAACTTCTCCCCACAACGACAAGATGTCTATCAGGAGTGCCATCGCACTCAATCCCGAGAGCTCGTCTTCGAGGGACAAGGGAAGTTGATTCAAAAAGCTTTGGAAGTACGGAACGGTCGTGTATTGCTGGGCTTCGTAGACCTCTTCGCGGCAAGGTAATCGGAGGTAGGCGGTTTGTGAGGAAATGAGGGTGGTCGAGGGGGTATAGAAACACGAGAGGCGCTGGTTTTAGAGAAATGCGGTCAGTTGATGTCCATATCAAAAGGTTCAAAACACCAAAATATTGAAGAACACTCACGTCCATCAGAAAAGCAACCCAAAATGTTCGACGTCGGCATTCGATCAACGCCTGAGGATGTAAACCGTATTCACATTCTCGACTTTGGTCCACAATAACTCCACCCAACTCGACATTGTACCGTAGTCCGCAGACTGTCCGCACGGCAGCCCCGACGGCATCCCACGACTTCACAAGAGCCCCGATGGCATAATACCAGAGACTCATAATGATGCGACTTTGAGCCAGCTGCAGGGTGAGGCTGTGTCTGCTGTGTTCCACGGCATATCGAGCCGTGCGAGAGTATCTCTTCAATGCTATCACCCTGTCGGGGCGCTCGGAGAAGACCGATCCTAGGGTCATCATCGAGTAAAGAAGCATATGGTCATCCAGGGATTTTGGCTGGCTCGAACGAAGCCACAGCAGGAATCGACTTCGAGGGAACATGTAGTACATCCGATCGTTCACATACGTGAAGTAGGTTTCGACGTAATGAAGCGTGAGCTCGGGATCCATTTCGTACGGATCAATTCTCCAGTCGCAGGCGATCGGATCTTCCGGGTCCAAGTCTTTCAGCCCCGTGAGAATGTCAGAGTAGTCAGGAGTCACTTGAGCATCCACACGTCTGGGCAGGTCCTCGACGCCTGCCGAGATCTGATTCGATCCTGGGCCTCTCAATCTGTAATGTTCGTAGTCCATCCCACTGTCATGGGTGCTATCCACCGCCGAAGGAGTGAGCATCGAGCCGTCAGATATAGGCGACTGAGAGTTGGTCCTCGGGAGCGAAGTCGAGCTTCCCGAGGCCCGGACCATCGAGTATATGGAATGAGAGGAGCCGGAAAAGTGGTGACTTCCGGCGGAGAAACTGTCTCGTCCTTCGTATCGGCCTATCGGTTGGGAGGTCTTCGTCGCTGCACGATGACCTCGAGGTCTAAACAAATTTCAGAGATAAGCACTGTCTATTCCAACCCACCGAGAAGACTCAAAGGGGGCGTTGTTCATCTCCACAAGGAATACTCACGCGCTCTCGAACCGGCACTCTCTGCCGGACTTCTGGCACTGGTCGCATTTCGGAAGATTCGGCTGGCATTTGATTTTCTTCTCGCGACAGGTCAAACAGGCCTGGGCGAGTCGTTTTCGCGGCTTCCCGGCCTTCGTAATGCCCCAGTTCGCGTTCACAGCGACTCCGTCAATGATCTTAGGACAACGAGTCCCGTCGGCGTAGATATAGCACAGCCCCTCTCCGTCGATGTACCTCTCATCGACCACATGCGAACGGACATTTGACGTAGGGCTTTTGTTCTCGGCCGAAACTCTCGCGTCAGGGGAATCGGGGAGTCCGCTGTCTTCAGGATCCCTCTCGAGATGCCGGAATCCATGTGGATGAAACAGTCCCTGCGGGAACGAAGGAACGGGGGAGTTGACCTGGCTGGGCGGATTCACTGAGGCCTCGCGTCCCAGATTATGCGGAGACAAACGAGCGAGAGGAGGCAATGAACCGGGGTGACGTTGATGGAGAGGATCCGAATGGAGTTGATGGTCAGGAATTCCGTTGCGGTTCGGCGTCAGGACGGGGGCAGGATCATGATGTCGATACGATGGCGAGGGTTCTGCGGCCCCATTCGGAGATGCGTAGAATCCAAAACCAACGGGGTGATAGGGTGACGATGGTCGGCTGTCCTGGGCCGTCGGGGTCAACAGCTGGCTAACTGACGGCAGTTGCTCATTTGCGGGCTGATGGCTGGGGGCCGGCGAACGGCCGGATAGGGGTCCTCCAAGGTCGGTTCTCTCTCCCTGGGTCCGCTGGTGCAGGAAAGGATCCGATCCGAACTGCAAAGGCGCTGAAGCACGAGGTGGTGGAAGTTGGTATGGATGGGTTGTTCCAGGAACTGGCAAGTTAGCCGGACGATCAGGCTCTCGCTCCGAAGAAGGACCGTCGGTCACAGGTAACATACGCCCGAAGGGTCCCACATAGTAGGTCGACATTGTTGGCGCCGTATGATGGACAAAAAGAAGGTGTGGTGTTTGTTCGTTCGTCTTTTTCAGCGTCCTATAACCAGCGACATAACAAGAGGGTAAGGTGCGGGGAGGGTTCCGATGAGTCCACCAGGAAGGAGAATGGAGTCCAGAATCCCAACGGTGACAAATATCGAATACAATCTGACAAAAAGCAAAACGCAATTTCTTGCTTAGCAACTGAAACCTTTTTCGAAGATGAAAACGAATGAACTTGGAATGCACCACACACCTCCTTTTTAAGTATGCCGTTGCCCGAGACTTTGAACAACGGAGGGCTGAGTCAAGCAGACGCACCAATGTTGAGAAATAAAAGAAAGATGGAAAAAAAATATATATGAAATCGAAATAGGAAAGGAAGGAACAAACGGCAGACAGGGGATCTTCGAGGGAATCGAAATTAGGGTTTGGGGATATCACTATACCCAAACCTTGGGTGGCACCGCTCGCACTTCAAAGACGGAACGAACAACCGAGTCGGAGCGGCAGGTAAAAGTACACCCAAAGGAAGGAAGGAAGCTAAGCCTGCAGGACGGAGACAATGAAAAGGGTAATTTTTTCTTCCACAAAACGATCAAGTCCGCGGCGTGCGGGCTCACTGGACTATTCCCGTATACTCACGGATCGAGGAACAACGGGAAGGCAACGGAAGCGACTAATAGACCACAATCATGGTGCAAACGGCCCTGAAACACAGTCTTGCCGGAACGAGCACTCCATGCCAGGATTGCTGCAGGATCCCAGTTGATCGTCCCGAGCATCCAACAATGATCCAGCGGGGACGGTACTGAAAGTGTCAAGGCAGACCAAGGTCAAGTAGGGTTATGCCTTAAGCCGGATACCGTAAGCCAAGGGGGTGAGTGGTGGGTGAGAGTGGAAATGACTGTGTCCTGGAACAAACGGGAGAGATGAGATAGCGTCGTTCTCACTGCAGATGGTGACAGAACCCCAGAAAGGCCGTGGATTGAACGTGACCAGGTAAGAGAAAAGCAGGCAAGGCCGTTTGTCGAAGACAGATGAGACTCCGGGTTCCGGGTAGGACAATGGGCGAATGAAAGACAGTAACAGAGTGGGTTGCGTTGCTTTTCTTTGCCCTCTGTCCTAGTGTTTCTTTTTCTTTTTTTCCACTTGTGAAATTCTTCTGGTCCTATTACTTTTTTTTCTCGCTGGACCTTTTCTTTTAATTTTTTTCGGCCCTTAATTTAGAAAGAAAGGACAAGGGGGTAAAATCAAGAGACAGATCTCCCTATTACGGACACCTTCGCGAGAGAGACCGGACGAACGAGATGAACTCTCAGGTACCGCCAATACGTACCCAGTGGCTATGTGGTTGGAGGGAATACTGGCACTAGCAGCCAGAAAGAATGGACCCTGGGATTGATAGCGGACCCGCGACAGAACCCAGATGGAACGAGGCCGCGAAAGACAGTCGGTGATTTGCTACTAGAGGCGTTGGTGTATTTGCCAGCCAAGTGTCCTTGACGCTGAGTAGTATCTGGCAATCTGCACTTTCTTTTTTCGTCCGGGGGGCCCCTGTAGGTAGGCTAGTGAGATGGGGGGGGATAACCCGGAGAGAGAGAGAGGATAGGACAGGGTAGGGTAGGATGCGATGAAAGAGTGAGAATAAAAAAAGAAAGGGACTAGGCTGGGAAGGTGGTGTGTTGGTAGCCTAAGTAGATAGATGTAGGAGTCGGAGTCGGAGTAAGTAGGTAGGTAGATAGGTAAGGTTTAATGATAGTAATGAACGAGGTACAGAAAGGAGAAGGAACCCGAAACCAACCAAGAAGAAGAGAACAAGAAGAAAAGGACAACAAGAACAGGGGCGAGGAAAGAAGGGAGGAAAAAGGAAGGAAGAAAGAAGACGAAAGAGGGGGAAACAATGCGGTGATTGATTCCCTTACGATACGAACAGTCGACAGGAAGCAACTTGCCCAAAAATAAAATAAACAAATGGAATAAAAAATACTGGGATGATCATATAAAATCAACAAAATATTTTATTTAATTCGAGAAAAAAAAAAAAAAAAAAAGGAAAGGAAAAACAAATCTAAAACCCTGGGTCGGACAACGGGGAACAACAGCTTCACCAGAAAATAAAAGAAGACTAATGGCCAGGCTGTACTCCGTAGGGTTTCTCCTCTGGTTCTGTCAATCCACCTCGATCCGTCCTAGTATTAACGGTCCCCCGGGTAGTGGGTTGCGTTCATGGCTTGGAACCGGGACCATCTTCTGGTCTCGACATGTGCTCCAGTGCTCTAGTGAGTAGTGGCTATAGTCGAGAGCAGTCCCGAAAATACCACGCTGCACAGATTGAGGCGATTTGAGAGATGACACGACACGAATGACAGGAACGCCACGAGGTCAGTGCTCGGTCATACAGACGTCGAAAGGCTGCCCGAGGTCGAGAGTTCGAAGGGATGGGGAAATAACAGAGTAACGAAGAGAGCAAATAACAATACAGAGCAAAAAAAAGAAAAAAAAGTGAAATTGAAGGCAGCGGGAATCCCTCAGGTCCCAATCCGGAATCGTCACCTCCTTCATCATGCAATGCATGGAATGGAGTCGTTACCTTTCTTTTGTGGATGCCTTTTTTTTTTCAGGTCAATTTCGTCCCTATCAATTAATCTATAATTCCGCATAATATAACGATGCTCCATACTTAATGATTACAATTGAAAAATATCCCAAAGCATCACCAGAATTAATTAAGTTAACTTTCCAACGTGTGCCCCGCTGCGATATCCTATTTGGTTGCTCGGAAAGATCCAGTCCATTTCCATAACGCAACCAAGATGATTACCTTCTCCGTAGCTAAGGTAAACCAACCCGAAGGAGCATAATCGACGAATAATTTAAGACACGGCATCTGAGGAGCTATCCTGGGAATTTTTGATTTTTTTAAAAATAAAAAATTAAAATTGCTACGGAGTAAATGTTTCGAGGAACAGGATATCCCTCGGGACGGCAGTTGAAAATAACCTTGTTTCAATGCATGAAGGTCTGTGACTTGAGCCAAGCCCGTCTCCGTGTCTTCCTCGTCCCTTTCATCTATTCTAGTCTGGACTCCGTGTTGTCTAGGGTGTGTTTGATCACCCTAGGGTATTCGGGACTTTTTTTCTGTGTTTTGCTTTGTTTCTTTTTTTATCACCCGGCAAAGAAAATAACACCTATCGTAGTTTCGGCCCCAGTAGTACGGAGTACGAAGTCGTAGGATAAGTTAATGAACGATGAGTGATACTACTAGTACCTCCATTTCAACCGACTGCCACACCCGAGGTGAACCATAAGATTATTTTTTTTTTAAGCAGAAAAAAAAAGGTACATCATAACCCATCGAGCAACAACCTAATCCAGGGATTCCTTCGGCCGACGCAAAATCATTCACGAACCGGGACCCAAAATCCCTGGGGCGTTCAGCGTACGGAGTAAGGATTATCAACGGAGGCCGGAGGGGCAGAGAAAGGACCACAATCCACAATTCACAAATCCCATGTCCATCAATTGCCTACTGAGTCTACTCCATGATTCCATCTGCCTCATTTATGAAGTTCCTCTCAAGGCAACAAACTAATAGGAGTCGTCCACGGGAGGGCGATGAGCGATGCGAGCCCCTCCCCGTTGGTCTTCACCCAGGAACCGATTTCCTACTCCGTGTGGACAAGGACCGCCCGCCCGCCCTTGTCCGACCTCCGTGCCCGGTACCTTACCCATTCTTGTTCATTGATTCTGGGATGGTTTACGTAGCTGGCTCCGTAGACTATCGCCTGCTTAACATTTGGGTTGACTGATAGAGATGACTCCTGAATGGAGGACGCAGAACGGAGGACGCAAAACGGAGAAAGGGGGTTCCTAACAAGTACCTAACAACGGTACGGTAGTTACCTACGGAGTACGGATCGGTAGAAACAACGACAGCTTCACGGTTCCTTAATTCTCGAGAATGAGACTCCATCGAGGATCGCAGACTTGTTATTCGCGGGGTTCTTCGTACTAGGAAAGTGGATATACGCAAACGGGTTAATTTGGCTATCTCTGCTCAGGTCCAGCCTACCAGCCTACCGTGCTGCGAGTGCGAGACTGCGAGGTCAGAATGTAAAAATTAAAAAATAGAGGAAAATAAAAAGAGGGTCCCATTTCAGCTGCGAGCGCGAAACGATCGATTTCGGGTTTAGTTCCGTGATGCTCCCTCTGTACGGAGTAGTCTGTAGGCTGTACGGACGAGTCCTCACTCCTCCGTTTTACCTTTGAAGTATCTGGCTGAGACTCTGAGATCTAGGTCCGTCCCTTTTTTTTCCTTCTCTCTCTCTTTTTTTTTCCGCCTTCCAATTGCCTATTTTTGCTTAACGGGCGCGCCCCCGATCCGCGCCCGGTTGTCGTCACTCGTACCTCGGATTTGTCTCAGGTTTTTCCAACCATGGCGATCCGATCTGCAAGCAAGCCAGCCGTCAAGTCATGGTCATTCACGCTCGGGAATTCCGCATCACGGTAATATATTAATGAATCAAGATGTTTCAATTTTATCTGGTAGGTAATCTACGGCGTAGTTACTATAGATCTGGCCTCTCCTTTATTTTATTTCCTTTTTTTTTCCTTTCTACGGATACTCCGTAGGTATTTGCCATCCGTACTAATATATTATACCTTCTAGTGATGGCTGACTACCGACTAGCACCCAGTAAGTAGCCGTGGGCTTAGAATTAGATGAATCTAACTTATGGGAAAAGGCATCATATGATGTTCTCATCCTGCGAAACCAATTGGATTTGGAGTCAAGCAGGACTTGTTAAATTAAATGATCAGAATAGGCATGAATCATTTACGAAGGTACGTACCAGTTACCAGTAACCAATTCTCCTAAACAGGGATGAACAGAAAGATCCGTAATCAAGGAAAGATCTACTATGTACGGAGTACGGATATGCAGTGATAGAAAAGAAAGACGATGAACGCAGTATACAATCATAATGCAA